TTGGGATTTTTTTTTAAGGCCCCTTTTGGGGTTGATTGGTTTGGCAGACAAAGGGGTTTAAGCTTGGGTACCCGGGGGGGGCCCTGGGAAGGCCGTTCTCGTGAGGGCCGGAGTTTTTTTAAGGAGGGGGGGGAACTGCCCATTTTGGAGGTTTAGGCATTCAGGCCAGCAGGGTAATGCATGCAAAGAAAAAAAACGTGGACGTTTCCTCAACCTCAAGACGACCTCACCTCACTTGCAATCTGTGCCTCCGTGTTCTCTTTTGCAGGTCAGGAACGCAAGAAGAGCAACCACACGGCTGCAACTGAGGGTAAGTGAACGCCACTGCTCAGTAAAAGCTAAATACCCACGCGTTGTTACTAAGATCAGACATGAACTACTTGAAACTTCCCTGTCATGCAATACATCATGTTGCTTGTATCCCTTCCTAACTTCACAACAAAATGTACAACCCCCCAGGCCAGGCCAACGTTATGGAGACGCAGCAGGAGCCCCTCGGCCAGAAGAGCAGCCGCCAGGATGGGGATGAGGGAGATGATGGGGACTACAGCGGGGAGGACGAGGGCGAGGGCAGGGAGGACGAGGGCGAGGGCGGGGAGGACGAGGGCGAGGGCGAGTGCGCGGAGGATGAGGGCGGGGAGGATGAGGGTGGGGAGGACGGGGACTGGCCGTACGAGAGCGGGGATTACATGGGCGGGGAGGACGAGGACTGGGAGGACAAGGGAGGGGAGGATGAGGGAGGGGAGGACGAGGGAGGGGAGGAGGACGAGGGGACGGGGGGCAAAGTCCTGCTCGAGGAGTACGGCAGAAGCAAGAGCCAGAAGGTCCACAGCAAGTCCGCGCCTCAACCAACTGGGCGCCGCAAGGTCCTGGTGACCGGAAAACATGACAAAGGTAAATTGTAGCTTTAACATGACAATAAATTATGACTACACACGGAACTTACTAACAACAAGGCAATAAATTACGACTTCATATGAAAATTAATTTATTAATCACTCTCACTTTTTGTAGGGGCATTGGATGCCAGAGGGCGGCCCACGCGCCTGAGGCAACCCTCGGCGAAGGCGCGGGAGAGCCAAGAAACGGTGGGCATGGTGGTGCCTGCACGAACCAAGCGTCCACGCCCTAAGGAAACCCCACTGGTGTTGCCGGAGGACCCTTCGGCTTTCGGGGCAACAGCGTCAAACCCCGCAGAGAGGAAGGAAGCGTTTGGTGTCGGTAAAGGCCGAGCTGTACAGACCCGCGGGGCTAAGGTGCAGCAGGAGAAGGGCAAGAAGGCCATGGCAGAGATTCGGAAGGGGGGACTGAAGAAGCAGCGGAGGTAGCAGACCGCGGGCAGTGATCAGGAACCTGGAGGGCGCCTTGTCACGACATTTTAGCGTCATGTTCATTTTACCGTCTTTTATAATCGTCTTTTATAGTCTGCCGTACGCACGTGCACGTGCGAACAAAACACGTGTTTTGTTCGGTGCTACAGTCGTATGACACGACAGCCTGCAGTTTCAAGTGATTCTTAATGTTGACTAAAGAAGGGCCTATAGTCCTCGTGGTACCGATTGAGAGATGTGAGCAGGTTGTAGTAGGCCATTGGGCAATGCTTTGTGTAGGATAATATGAACCCGCTATGAAGCTGGTAATCGCTGTTTAATGCGTAAGAGTTTGGTCGGTTAACGTCCTGATAATATCTATGTTATTGCCCCATTACCGGGGACATTCTTGTAACTGGCCGCCTGATAAAGGACCTGGTAAACACCCGATAATGCTGCCTGATTACCGGGTAACTTGTAACTGGCCGCCCGATAAACGACCCTGGTAAACCACCCTGGTAATGGAGCCTGATTACGGGTAACTGGCCGATTAACGACCCTAGCCCGTTAACAGCCCAGTAACCTTATAGCCTGGTAATCGAGGCCGGTTACCAGGCGTTCCCATTATCGGGCCAATAACATGCGGTAGGGCTGGTCAAGTTTCGGCTCGTTCCCTGCTTGCACACAACTGCCTCTTGAGTTTAGTCGGAACAATGTGCATTATGCGCTGCGGACACATTTGTGCGAGGGGCTGCTTAATAAAATGAAGGAAATTCGTTAACTGTTCATGAAAACTTGAAAATTTCCTAACCGCTGGCCAATGGAAAGACCCTCACTGACGCCAAGTGAGAGGCAGCATATGTGCGCTGCCGTCACAGAGGCTGGCTTAGACTCCGCTGATTTAGATGAAGAGGACTTGAAGATACTGTGGAGAGCTAAATTCCGCACCGCTGCACGCCTGCGTGCAGCTAGACGGGAAGATCTCATTGATGCGGGTCTGGCGCCTGGCGTGGTGGTCAGCATTCTGCAGGCCTTAGGTGAATTCTAAGAGGGGTTTCTGTGCCACCAACCTGTAAGATTTGCGCAAGGAGCCGTTAGGAATGTCACTGGACGCATAGGGCGTTAAGGCCTCGTCAAGCCCTGCGAGAATTGTGCCACAATTGTGCTGCGGTGCTTAGGCATTGTGGTTGAGAGTAGACAGGACGCTGGTGGCGAGTCCCAAACCTAGGTTTTGCAGGTTGCCTTTGCAAACCTGCGCGTGAAGCTAGCTTGGGTGTTAAGAATGCTGCATGAAGATTGTTACTACATACAAGGCGCGTCGCCTCTACCTGCACCCGCCACATATCGGGAATCCAGGATGCATGTTCATCCTTTTCGGGAATCCAGGATCATCCTTTATATACCGACCTGCATTGGTTTTTCGCCGTTATGTTCCAATGAGCATTGTTGTGTTTGCGAAGAGTCTGGTGGCTTTGGTAGCTGCATGCCCTTCCGATTTTTTGCATGCTGAACGGCCAAATCCACGGCTTCTACCGCAGTGGTTCTGGACGAGAATGCCACGCGCTTCTTCGCTACACTGCATACCATGCACGGTCTTCTGAATCGTTGGTCATCTGTGTGTTCCTTTGCCAAAAGAGCACACCCCTGCTATGTGGTGACAAATGACCTACCTGCGTAATTCACCCTCTTTTTCCCTGTTTGATGTACAGGTGCTGCAACTGCTGCCCCGCCACCGGGTCCCAGCTTTGGTGAGTTCGCCTCATTTTTACGTTAACTTCTTGGAGCTGAATGCAGTGTTTTTTTTAAGTAATATATTCTTTATAAGGAATATAGAGGCCATTATGGCCTTTGGAAAAACGGAATGAATTGAGACCGGGAAGTCGTCCCGCGCGGTGGGGCGGGTGGGTCGTTGCTGGGGGCTGCGGGGTGAGCTGGTTGCGCCCACTCGTGTGGGAGAGGATTAGTGGGCACGAAGATCCCGACTGGAGCCGCTGGGGTCTGGGGTGCGGCCTCTGACGTGGAGCGGTATCGGAGACGGGTGCAGGATGATGGTTTGGGTTCGGTCGAAGGAACGTCTAGGGAGCCAAGTGACAGGGGATGCAGACCAGGGGAGTTCACCAGCACCAGCAGGTGGTGGGCGGGGTGCTGGGACATGGCGTGCACCAAGGGTATGCACGCGATGATGGAGTGGGCTGTCATGCCATGTCGCTGGGTGCTGGTGCAGCAACTGGCCTCTTGTGTAAGCCGGCATCCCTTGTGGTCCTGCATGCATAGCACCTGGACGACAGCGGCCGGTTACTCATGTGTCTGCACCTTGTGGGCACGACAGGCTACTCTTGTACAGGCCCGCCTGCTTGCAAGCTGCGGCTCCGGCAAGATGTGCAGAACACGGACCTGTACTTCTTCGAGCCCATGGACACCAGCAGCGCTGCAGCTAGCGCTGCAAGTCCGGGCGTGAGCAGCGGCAGCTTCTTCCTGGACCCCGAGGGCAAGCAGAAAGCTGAGCTAGAGGACTGGCTTGGCCTGGCCATGGACTTGCACGGCAAGGGCAAACCCATCTTGCCGTTGTTTGTCAACGGTCATGTCAAGGTGGGATACCCCGTGCATGGTTGGATCTCAAGCATGACCCAACAGGCACCTTAGATGGCTTTTGAATGTCGCGTGCTGATGGGTATACGCTGCGGCAGCGGAGTCCCGCTACACCGTGGTGGCTGCTTTTGGAGTTTAGGTACACAGTCTGATGGGGTTAGGTACTCCAAAACTATACGGAGTGTTCCGTCGTTCTTCGCGAATACTTGGACAGCAAGGTTTCCTGCGCTCGGAGTGTACGTGGTGGGGGACGTTACCTGTGTGTGTTTGGGCTCGGGGCCCATGCGCGGCATGGGCTGCCGTGCCTGGCTAAGTAGCCCGAGTGCAGGCAGGTGCTCGCTACTTTTCGAGTTTTCTTACTGTTAGTACTGACGCCGTCGTCCCCTGCTTTCATACCATTGTCATCTTGTGCCCACCGTGCACCCGTTGTGCAGAGTGGCAAGTCCTACCTGCTCAACGAGGTCCTTCCTGCTGTGGCCAACGCCTATTACTGCAGCGGCGGCAGCGGCCGGCAGCACGCTGGCGCGGAGCTTGCGGAGCCCAACTTCCTGCACGTGAACTGCTTGGACTGCGACCGCAGCAGCGGCAGCGGTGGCTTCCTGAAGGAACTCCTCATCAAGCTCAAGCGGAGCGCAGCTGACCAGCGGCTCTATGCTGCCGCCAGCACGCCTGTGCCCAGCGACCACTCCGCGGGCACCATGGCGGACGCCATTCAGGACTTCATGCGGCGCCTGCCACGGGACCGTCTGAACTTCCTGCTGGTCGACGAGGCGCAGAGCTTCTACCTGATGGTGCAGCCGGCCGTGTTCGGTGATGGTGCGCTGCGTGGCCCAACCCTGGACATCCAGGCGGTGCTGCACATGCGGCGGTACGTCAGCACATTACTTTCCCTGAACGTGTCGCGTGTTCACATGTATGGGCATGGGAGGATGAGTGGCCGTGGTTAGTGTTTGTTACACACCTGACAGTGCATTGCATTGCATGTGAGGGGCGGAAGGCATTAAAGGGGACAGGCGCTTACCACTGCACCAGGGCGGCAGGCATCTGCTTTTTACAGCCCCAACACAGCAGGTGCAGGGGACTTCGCTGAACATGGGCACTGTTTCCCTTGCCTTACCTTGCTGCCTGTCACCTTGCATGCCTGGTTACCTTGCTTGTCTCACCCATAGCATCCTCAAGGGGTCCTCCTGCTGGACAGCCCCCACTGGGTCGCCTGGGCCGTCACAGGCAGCTCCATGGCGACGCTGTGGGCCAACGTCGCTGCCACCACGGTGAGCCATTGGCATTGCAGATCTGGGACACAACACTCTAGCTAGAGAGCCCTTCCATGGACCACGCCGCCTTTGGGCGGACCCGTTAGCTCCTTCCCCACTGCCTTATCTCCACAGCCAAGCCACCCCCCCCCAAAAAAGCTACTGCAGCGCCCAACACCTTTTTGCTGTGCATGTTGCCGCAGACCAACGGCTTCTCCCTGATCATGCACCACCGCCGACTCAACCTGAGCCCCACGATGCCCCTGGAAGCACTGCAAGTCGCCTGGGCGCAGCTCAAGGCCCAGGCCAAAACCTGGGATCCGGTCCGGCCACTGCCAGAAGACCTGGCCTGGCAGTCGCCGCTGCAGGTCGCCATGCTGGCCTACCTGTGCCAGGAGTGGAGGTACAGCCGCACAACTGGCACAGCCGAGGAGCTGGTGGAGCAGACCATGATGCAAAAGCTCATTCCCGAGGTGGGGCCTACATCTTATAGCAACCGCAAATCAGCAAACGTGGGTGCTAGCTGTGAAGGAGTAAACTCTTTGCATACTGGCAGGTCAAGCCAGATGACGGTCCATCACCAACGTGTTGTTGTCGCTGTTCGTCATCCCTAGGTGCTGGAGGACCTGTGCATGGTGCTGCAAGTGCTGGGCCAGCCTGCGTCACAGTTGCTACTCCTGTGGGAGCTGCTGGACCCGGTGGCTGGAGTGGAGTCCGCCAAGCTCCCATCAGCGTTCAAGGTGCTGCTGGGCAGCTTCACTACCACGCGTGATGATGGCACGCTCTTCCTGGACTACCCACTGCTTGCTCAGGTGCTCCAGGTGCGTTGGTCATGTGCAGCCAACGTCCTAAGCTGAGCAACCATGAGGCCATGGTGGGCGGTCATACTGCACACTGGGGAAGTGGGAGTTTGCTGCTGGATGCCGTTTTGTGTTCTAGGCATCGGAAGGTAGGGACAGGCTCACGAGACAGGATCGTGCAACACCAGTGGACACGAACTTGTCCGCTGCCCTTCACCAGAGATACTCGCTTCCTGTCGCCATACTCCCTGCTCAGGCGGTCACCACGGAGTCTGGGGAGCTGCTGGACTCCATCACCGCCATTGAGTCAATCAGCACCAAGATGTTCAGGGAGCTGGTTGTGCTCGGCGAGTGCTGCAGGTCGGGATCATTCGACAGCCTTGAGGACCTGCACGGCCTCCTGCGAGAAATGGAAACTGCACTCGCGCTCAAGCCGGACGCGCTGCTGGGGACGGACTGGTTTACGCAGGTACAAATGCCAGGGATGATGTCGAGCATGCGCCAGCATCATGTGTTTGACGGACTACTATTATCATCATGTGTGCCTGCATACATCGTGGCGTGTTCTAACGGCACCTACTGTTCACCCGTCAACCCAACCACATATGACTTCAAGTGGAGATGCGTGCACCTATGCATTCTGGCCTCCTTTGTGTTGACCACAGCGCCTGGTGTTTCATCTACCTGCAGGCCCTGGACCACCGCTGCAACAGCCGCGGCAGCAAGGCCAACTTCGAGGAGGTGCACCAGGCACAAGCTACCAGGGATGCCAAGGTTGGGCTGCGCTGGTTCCACGTGCTGCTGCGCAACGTCCTCTGCCATGGCTATATCTCGGAGCAGCGGCAGGCCCTGCAGGCCTACCCGCCGCAGCTGGCCACGCTCCACAGCAGTGGCCGTGTCGGCAAGGTGCTGACCAAAACATACGACAGCCCACCACCCGCACGCAGCAAGGCCCCGGTCGTGTCGGCTGCAGCATCACCCAGGGCGCAGTTGCAGCCGCCTGGTGCAGGGCCCGCCGTGCGCCCCATTGTTTCGCTGCATTTGGGCAAGCGGCTGGGGCGTGCTGCTGGCGCCACCGTCATTCCGCGGCATTATGTGGTGTAGACGTGAGTGGTCCGTACCACCTGGCAGACCTGAATCATGTTATCATGCGGTGTAAACCTGGCATGCGCCGCTGCTGAGAGGCGGGTCATGTGATGAAATTCACAGCTGCCTCTCATCCTTATCCGGTCACCTCCCCCTTCAGGTCTCACTGGAATATTCCCTGGCACCTGCCTCCCCCCCCACACACACACGCTCACGCCTACATCGGCCAGGCCATCACCCGCATGTCCCGGGCTCTGGACGAAATGGTCATCACGGGCGTCCCCACCACCACCTCCTTCCACAAGCTCATTCTGCAGACCGAGGCGTTCAAGCGAGGAAAGGTGCGGGGGAAGGGTGGGGGGAGAGATCCTTCCTGGTAGCCACTCCATTTAGAAGTTGCGCCTCTTTTTTTTCAAAGTTTTCATGTATGGCACCGGTGTGTCTCTTCCTGTTGTTACTGTGATAATGAGCATTGCTTTACCGGTCCAAGACATGCATTGCTGTGATCGCTCTGAGACTCATGCACCCACCATCGATGCATAGTACCTTTCATTCTAGTGTGTCTTCACTGGGTCGAAATAGCTCTCTTGTGCAGTGTACCTGTTTCCACATTTGTACGTCTTTTTGTCGTACTTGTTGTCGTACAGGTCGATACTGGCTTCAACGTGAAGCACGTCGACGAGCTGAAGGAGAAGCCCCAGACCCCATGGTAAGGTGGTGGGATTGGTTGGTAGGGTTCGCTTTTGCAGATTTTGCCGATGGAAGGCAGCCGTACTGTGTCCGTACAGCGAGTAAACGTGTAGCCATTTGCAAATGGCGATAGGTGATGAGGAAAGTGTTCGAGGATCGACCCACCGAGTAGTCGTGTACTGGTAATTTCTGGCCGTGTGACGGCACTGGCACTGGTGGAGCGGCATCGAGGGCGTGTTGCCCTCCATGCATGATGTGCTGTGCTAGCTAGCCGTCATCTTCATCATTGCCGCGTGTCTTCACTTCTGCCACTGCTGCTGCAACGGGCTTCGCTTTTCTGTGGGGTTCTTTTGGGGTTCGAAATTGTAGGAAGCATTGTTGAGCTGCGGACGGGCAAGTGTAGTCTTACCTGTTGCCTCTTGCTGCCTCTCCTTCGACCCTGACTGGTTTGGGGACGGCAATGACGTTCATGCATGTCCGGTGATGTACGGCGCGGTGGGTGACTGGGTGGGTGGGCGCGTGGAGCCCACGAATTCCCAGGGGCCATGGGGGAGCGGTATGGCGGCGGCGGAGTCTGCATCCTCATCTGCGCTCTGCCACTGCGAGCCCCTTTGTATGTTTGTTTGTTTGAGAGAGAGAGAGAGAGAGAGAGAGAGGTGGACGTACGAGCACTATACATAGCGGCGCTCTTTGCTGGGCCGACTGGCTGTACTGCTACTGTGGGGGGAATGAGGATGGGATTGCGCCTCGGTCTGCCGCCGATTTTGGTCACTGTCTCAGGGGCAGTCGATGGTTCCTTTCGCACACGCGTGTGAATGTATGAATGTGTCTGTATGTGGTTAACTTCGCCAGCGGCCCCCTTTCCCGGGGCAGTCCCTGCTCTCCCCTGCTAGAGGGGCACCCTAATCCGTCACCCCATCCGACTTCAGAATGTATTCGTTGGGTTCGGCAACTCACCACCAGCATGCAACCAAATCTAGCGGATCAACGGTGCATCAACTTCCTGGTCAGCTCGCAAGTTGATTTTATCACGTCCTACATCGTCCAAATGATGTGGGGCCACCTCCCATTGCGACTCTCCTCACAACCCGAGGAGCCGGCAGGCGGATTTGAACCCGGGTCGGCCAGGAGCAGAAGTCAGGCCTTAACCTCTGCCAGCCGCCTGCCGTGCGTGTGTGTGTATGTCTGTGTGTGTCTGTGTGTGCGTGTGTGTGTATGTCTGTGTGTGTCTGTGTGTGTGTGTGTGTGTGTGTGTGTGTTGTCGTGTGTGATGTGTGTGTTCGTCACATCAAGAAGGGTCCCGAAATGACAGAAAAAATGTCCGCGCAAGCCTTTCCTTGGCTCTGGTAGGCACCCCAAAAGTTTTAAAACAAGAATAACAGCGACCTATAGCCAAAGTAACCGAGTTGCCGACCTATGTATGCATTTCATGCACTTTGGAGTCACTAGCTCGCTGGTCGGGCAAACCGCCAACGAAACATCTGTAAGATTGGAAAGGGGTCACGGGATGCACAGATTGTCCTGCGTATGCGAATATCCGTTTGAAGCTTTGGGACCTGGGGGTTACTCCTGGGGACCGAATGATCGAGATTATGGGCGTCAAGGATCAACGCGGGTTAGCGCACGTCCTGGATGACATTAGAAGATGCAGGTTGCAGTACGTTGAAGATTAATCAATCTGTTATTGTTGGGTATTGGCATTTTTCTTTCTAAGTTCTTGTTTCCAGTTTGGCGGTTCATGAGCCTTTTGGCTCGTCTGGACCGTACAAGCTTGAAGCTTGTAATAAAAAACGTCAAATAGGGGGGTCCTTGTGAAGCAGCTGCCCGCGTTTCCAAAGCCCGTATGGTGTTGGATTGTAAGGTGCCCAAGTACGTTTGCGCGGAAGAGAATGTGGCCAGGCTGGAGAGGAAAGCAGTGCAGTGGCATATTGGAATGTGAGATTAGCGTAAGCGAGTTACAGGGCGTTTTATTGCACGGGCGAATTTACGTGCAAATCTTTCACCGTAGCATCAGTCCTCAGTTCACTTCTTGGAACGAACATCAGCATAGGTGCAAGCCCTCTCGCTTGGAGGGATATGCAAACAAACATCCTGATAGGGGTAAACTCGCACCTAACGAGCATTCAACCGAGCACATGCATGCTTAGTTGAATGGTGAGATGCGACCCCCCCTTCATTTCGTGCTCGGCAAGCCTGCCACCGCGTACCGGATATGTTGGCGATGTTACAGAACGCTGCACCTTGGTTTCTGTTACGTTGCTCGACCCCGCCGACCAAAACTACACGTGCCCAACTGAAGACATTCCCGGTGGTTGTGCAGCAGCTCTTGAGGCTGTTGCTGGCTGAAATCCATCCTGAGCTGTTGCAACACGGCTAACGCGGGCACGTCCCTATGCACAGCAAATAGCTGTTCCAAGCCATCAGCGGCGTCCATGTCACCGACAAGTGTACGCTGCTTGACCGTGCCGACCAAAACTACATGTTCCCATCTGAAGATATTCCCGGTGGTTATTCAGCAGCCTTCGAGCTTGCTGCTGGCTCAATTCCATTCGTAGTTGCTGCAAGACGGCTAACGCAGGCACGGCCGAATGCGCTGCTAAAAGCTGTTCCAAGCTCTCAGCGGCATCCATTTCACTTGCAAGGTTCTGAACGTCTCTCGCGATTCTTATCTTTACATAATTCTGTGCTTGTTTATTTATTTCGTAAGAGTGTAACTTGAGTATTCGGAACAATGAGAATTATGCGCTGCGCTACCGAAAGCAGGCGCCTTATGGCTTGCACACAACTGCTTCTTCGCCAGCGCTTCATCTTCCGCCAGCGCTTCATCTTCCGCGGCAGTTTCACGAGCCCAGAGTTGCAAGCTACGACGTTGGCTTTCGGTGCTTTTATTTACTGCAAAACATCCACGCAATAGTCCAGCGTGCGGCTATGGCCAACATGCTCACCTGCGCAACACGCTGGCGCACCTGGTCCTCATCCGCCAAGAAATCTTATATACATTTGTACAGGCGCATTTTGCGAATCGCACGCGCGCATCTGCGCGGCAAAATTCGCTCCTGACTTTTGGGACGAGATGTACGGAGTCTCTATTCGCGAAGTACGACCGGACACATTTGTGCGAGGGGCTGCTTAAAAACGCACAGGGTGCTGGCTCCACAGGGTATAATTCGTCCTTGCAAAAACTCGTGTAAGCTCGGTACTCAGTACATCCACCACCTGACTGGAATTCAGCTGGCTTCCCAAATCCACGGGGGCCTCGCCTAAATCGCACCCTCATTCACATAAGGCCCCGACCATCGGCTGTGGCAGCCAAGTATAGTTAACTGTCTTTACTGCTAAAGTAGTAGATCGACATAGAATAGAAGACAACTTAAATCAACGGAAGAGGGGCAGCAAGTGGCATCGCCGGCATGGGGTGCTCCGGTTCAAATATTTTCGCTCAGCCTGGCCGGCGGAGACGCGGGCTTCATGATGCCATAAAGAAGAGGACAAGAAAGCCTGGTTTGGCGAAGTTGGGTAAAAAAAACGGTTGCTGGTGGTCGGGGCCTTATGTGAATGAGGGCGCAATTTAGGCGACGCATCCACGGGAGTGTGTGAGCAAACTTGTACGGCGGGTGCGTCTAGAGCGTAGGAAGCGCGTATGCTTTCCAGAATTGAAAATTTCGATACAGAATTAAGGAACGAGCTGATTAAGTGCGACAGGATACTTTGTGCACGCCCAAATCCGAACGGATTTCTGTCTTCGTGTGGGTACACGCTGTTTTCATCTTAGGGCTCTTGTTCACGTAATACGTCCTGGGTAGGATGCTCAGAATGTGATATATACAGCGGAATTATATCTTGGTAATGTGACGCACACGACAATGCCCGTTGTCGGTACCCAGCGGGCTCACAGAGCCGCGCTTGCGCGATTTGATGCGCTACAGCACTGTGCTTCTGATGATAAATTTCACAAGATTCTTGAAATAACAAACGCCGAGGTCGACACTAATGGGCTTCCGCTGGAGCGCCAGGAGGCGACCGATCATTGCTATAACCGATGGCTGGAAAAGTTAGGGCTTGAGGCGCCGTCACAGCCAAAGGGTAATTCAAATTCCTGGTCTGGGCTGTTGTCCCGTTTTTGCCTTTCGCGTTTACGCCCACCGCTTCCTGATGTTTGGAAGACTCTCACAATCAGAATTGTTGAATTTACTGTATCGTCTAATCGATCGTCTCTGGTCTCCGTCCCGCGTCGCAGCTGACAAGCATCCGTGCTGCGGTTGCAAGCATGGCCATGGCGCAGGGCCATCGTTGCTGGACGCCACCCTTCAGCCCGACGGCACCGTCCGCATCATCGAGCTGGATGATCGGGCTCTAAAGCGACGGCGACGTCTGGTCACGCGCACCTGGTGCAAGGCAGCGCGGCACGCTGCGGGCGCGTCACCCCTCAGCGGCGATCATTACCTGTGCGATGAGCATCTCAACCTTCTCTTCGTTCAGTCGCAATACCTGCGGCTGCCCCTCAAGGTGCGGGATGTACGTGTGGGAGGTGCGGCTGCCTGTCAAGCTGCAGGATGCCGAACACAGAAACCTGCGGCTGCGAGACGGGAAAGTGGGAAGGGGTTGGTTGGCGCAGAACAGAACGAAAGGGCCCCACGCTGACGTTCGTGCGCCTACAGCAACCCCGTTGCGCCGACTTGCATGTTCCGTCTGCTTTCCTGTTTCGTCATCTCCACCCTCCCACTCTCCGTCCCTCCGTCCTCCCCCCCTTCCTCACTCGCCCGCCTTGCCCCCGGCATCACCCTCCTCCACCCGCCTCCACATCTCCCATTGTCGCATCATCCCCTCTTCTTCTACCTTCCAAAAGGTCCGTGACTGGCTGCTACGAGGCTGCTGCTTGGAGTGTGCCTTCGAGTGCGCGGGTGAGGAACCACCGTGCCCCACAGTGGGCTCTGCTGCAGCTGCAGCTGCTGCTGCTGCTGCTGGCACCAGCGCTGGTTCTGGCACCAGACCTGGCTGGCTGGGGCTGCTCCCCCGTCTTACTGATACTCAAGTAGAGGAGCTCCGAACCAGCCTGGCGCCCATGATGGAGATGCTGCTGTATCCGCCAGGGCTAACCGAACAGGTAGCTAACTGGCTAACCGAATAAACGGCCGTGAAGGGAGGGAGGAAGGAACGAATCGGAGCTCGGGGCTGGTGGAATGTGTTGGACTGTGCTGATTATGCAGTTTGAATGCCGAATATATGTGTGTTTGTGTGTGCCCCTGAAGGGTGTCGCGTGGTTGTTGTGATGTCGCAATGCCATGCTTTGGCTCCCTTCGGCGACATCCCCCTTGTTCTCCTGTGGCGGCTGTTCCTGTAGTGGGAACATCGCTGATGAAAGTGATGGCAGCGACTTGCTGGATTTCTCTGATTTTGCCATCCCGCAGGAGCTGGCGGATGTGCGTTTCGGTAACGAAGTGCCGGTGATGCGAGCAGGTGAGGAGGAGGAAGAGGGGGAGGAGGAGGAGGAGGAGGAGGAAGGAGATGGCGAGGACGAGGATATGGACGGCCGTGGCCATGGCGGCAAGGCGACGGAAATAGAGGAGCAGGCGGGCAGAGACTGGAGCAGGGGTGGCAACGGTGGCAGCTGTAGCAGCAGCAGCGGCAGATCTCAGAGAAAACTGGTCTGCTTACCACTCCGCGGACGCAACTGGTGCTTCGAGTGAGCGAGATTGTGCCAGGCGGCGTTGGGGTCGTCTGGGGATGGGGCCGGTGAATCAGATTAGACGTAAATGATATCGATATGGGTCGACGTGAGCCGATTGGGAAACAGTGGGTAGGGGCCCACGCGCTAAGATTTGCGTGTGTTATTTTGTTGTTGATATTATTGTCAGAAAGAAGACCCGGTGACTGTTATTTTTGGGTCGCGAGCAGTCAGCCAGGTTCATCAGCATGTATCGTGTGTTGTGTGTGTCGTGAATCTCTTTCCCTGTCGTACAAACTGAATTAACGGTTTTCCCAATTTTCTATCCGGTACATCTCCGCTGCGGTGCTAAGGATGCGTATAGTCGCTTGTCTGCGCTTTTGGTTTTATGTATCTTTTCGCCTTCCCACCACAGCCTGTCTCCTGCTGCTCCTCCTGTTGCTGCTGCTGGGTGCCTTTTCACCCCGCATTGGTGCGGTCTCCTCCCTCGGTCTTCCCTGCCCTGCCGTCAGATGCGGCTGCAACCCCGCTGTCTACATTTTCAAATTTCGAAACGACTTGGCCTCGGATCGGGTCCTTTGCCCAACATGCTGGGTGGCCCTGCGGGATTCTCGAGCTCGGACGGCGGCACAGCAGCAGCACCACCACCGCCAGCATGCGGGTGTGGATCCAGCCTCCCTGGCGCTGTTCTGCTGTCTACGCGAGGAGATGCTGCTGCGGCTTCAAGTCATGTTTCCTAGGTGCTCAGCTACTGCCGCCGCTGCAGCAGCAGCAGCTGCGGCGGCGGCATCGGAGCAGCAAGCTGTGGACACTGGTGTTGGTGATGCGGGAGAGCGGAAGCACATCATTGCGGATTCACAGCCCGCATCACAGTCGACTACGCCGGAGCAGCAACAGCTGCGGCAGGAGCAGCAGCAGCAGCAATGTTCGCCGCCGCCGCTGCAACACCGGCGGCCTGAGGAACCACACCAGCGGCAGCAGCGACAGAGGCTGGTTGACTTGCCGGCGCCAGCCGCGCCGGCGCAGTTGCCAGTGCCAATGTCGGCTCAACAGCCGCAGTGCCAGTTGTTACAGCTGGTGCCGCCAGGCCTTGAGATCCCGAGTCCCGAGCTGCAGCAGCAGCAGCAGCAGCACGAACTGGGACCGCCACGGCACGCGCAGCTTCACTTGTCGCCACCGCCGCCGCCGCCGCCATCGCTGCAGCAGCCAGAGCAGCGGCTGCAACAACAGCCTCCAGCTTTGCAACAGCAGCAGCGGCCCGTGGTGCGTCCCGAACTGGGAGCTACCGTTCGACTGGGTGGCGCAGCTAGCGATCAAGAAACGGCGCAGATGCGATTCCCTATGTCGCCGCAGGGGTACCAGCCCCTGCAGCAGCAGCAGCAGCAGCAGCAGCCGCCATGGGTGCAGGTGCTGGCCTCACACCAGCCGCCTCAAGCCCCGCTGTCGGCACCTCGGGGGCCCTCGCAGCTGCGGCGTCCGGAGCAACCGCAGCCGGACCCGCTTCCGGGTGGTCGACGGGATCTGGGGTCGATCTCCGCGGCTGCTGTGGAGCTGTACCAGCGGCCCCGCGGGGTCTTCCAAATGGCGCAACATTTGGCAACGCATGCGTCACCAAAACAGCAGCAACAGCAGCCTCTGCAGCTGCAACAGCTGCGGCCGCAACAACCGCCCTCGTCGTCTTTGCTCTCGATGCCGCCACGACCACCACCACAGCAACAGCAGCAGCCGCTGCAGCACCAGGTAGCGCACCAGCACCAGCAACAGCACCCGTCGCAATCACAACCGCAGCCGCAGCCATGGCAGCAACATGTTCCCTCACATCAACAGCACCAGCAGCAGCCACCACCCCAAGAGCAGGTATCCCAGCACCAGCACCGGCCATGGCAGCAACAGTTGTCGTCATATCAACTCCAACATCAACACCACCAACGTCAGCAACAGCAGCAACAGTCCTCTGTCCCGCGAACTCTAATACAGGCCGGGGATTCGCCGCCTTCATCTTTTGGCTGGTTTGGCGACCTGAGCCGTTCCTTCGACCCAACAGAGCGCAGCGGTGACGAGATCGTCACCACCTGGGAAGCGACGGCGGATCTTGAAGCTAATAGACCATGCCCGCCGCCAGTTCCGCCGTCGTACAACCTGTCGCCGTATCCTCATGCCCCGTATTCATCGCGTCGTAGCGCTTTTGCTGAAACGCAGCAGCAGGGGCAGCAGGCTGAGGCAGCCTCTAATCTCTGGCGGTGGCAGCAGCAGCAGCAACAACAACAACAACAGCAACAACAACAACAGCAACAGAAGTACCAGCAATCCCAATCGCAGCAGCAGCAGCAGCAGCAGCAACAACAACAACAACAACAGCAACAACAACAGCAACAGAAGTACCAGCAATCCCAATCGCAGCAGCAGCAGCAGCAGCAGCAGCAACAACATCAACAACAACAGCAACAGAAGTACCAGCAATCCCAATCGCAGCAGCAGCAGCAGCAACAACATCAACAACAACAGCAACAAGAACAGCAACAGAAGTACCAGCAATCCCAATCGCAGCAGCAGCAGCAGCAGCAGCAACAACAGCAACAACAACAGCAACAACAGCAACAGAAGTACCAGCAATACCAACCGCAGCAGCAGCAGCAGCAACAACAACAGCAACAACAACAGCAACAGAAGTACCAGCAATACCAACCGCATGTGGAGCTGCAACAGCAGCTTCCGCTACTGCCGGCAATGCCGGCCCCCCAAGACCCACGGGTCACTGGCGATGGCGGGCCCCAGGCCGCCGGTGCAACCCAGGCACCCCTGTGTGCTGTCGCCCACCTGTCGTACGCCGCGGCGATAGACGGAAGAGGCGCCGCCGCCACATCCCTCACCTGGAGCGCGGCATCTTTCCAACGAAGAAGCGACTCCCGCAATATGGACTGTACGAACGGCGGTGGTGGCGGCGGAAGCAATGGCTTGGATGGCGGCTGGAGCGCCGACGGCACGGTTCAAGATGTCCGAATGTACGGCAGGCCGTCAGCGATCTCCCAGTGTGGCGACGAGGCCGTGCTGTCTGTCCCGGAGCCGACGGAATTGCCCACGGGCGTACGGACGTACGGCATCCGGGGAACACGTTCCTGGTCGGCAGCGGATCTTCCGTCTCGGCCGATGGCGACGGCGATGGGCACGGCAAGCGAGCTGCAGCGCTCTGCGCCTTGGCCAGCTAGAGATGATGGGCGACATACGAATGTACGGGAAGAGAACTGGGACTTATGTACGGCAGGGGCGGCTGGGTTGAGACCGCAAGTCGATGGCGTTCAGAGGATCTGCGGTGGCCTCGTCTGTACGGAGCTCCACCGTGTGACCGGCGGCAGCGGCGGTGGCGGCGGCGGTACTGCGGCGGCGCCGCGTCAGATGCTGGCGCCGTTGGCGGCGGTTGGCAGGTCTGCAGCAGCAGCCGTTGGCCCGGCGGCGAACGGCTCCACTGAGGTTGCGCGAGCGGGAGGTTGTGAGGTAGGTGTGCATGGCAGTGACGGCGGCGGCGATGGGGGCGGCGGTGGCGGACATGCTCAACGGCATTCCTCGGTAACTGCCGTTCCCGGTCCGGTGTCTGCGACGAAGACTGTAGCAGCAGCGACGGCGACGGCGACAGCAACAACAGCCGTAGGAACGGCTCCCGTCACAGGAGCGTCACCTGCGCCAGTCGCCAGCGTTCCCGCCCCGCCGCCGACGCCGCCACGCAATGAGCTGTTCCCAAGTTGCTCCCGACCGGAGCTTAGCACGTCGCGGTACAACACCCATATCCATCTGCCCGGACAGCACATGGCTGCGAAGCTAGGCCTGCCGCCGCCGCCGCGCACGCCGGACTCAGCCGGGCGGCGGGAATGGTACGACGCCTCAGCAGTAGCGCAGGACGTGCCGTACTTTGGCGGCGCGTTGGCGCGCTGTGCACCGCACCTGGGACCGGTGGCGCTGCGTGCCGGTGGCGGCGGAGCCGCCACCTCCGCTGCCGCTGCAGCCGGCAGGGGCGGCGCGGGGGCGGCGACGCGGATCCGTGAGGAGGACTGCTTCTACCTCATCCGGAAGGAAGCCATGCTGCGGCTTCCAGAGCAGAAACGGAGGCAGCTGTTGGAGCTGGCACGGGATCATAACGCCCGCGGCGGTCCAGTGCTGTTTTGCGGGCCGCTGGGGCTGGTCCACGACCCCACAGACATGCTTAGCGATATCCTCGAAGCGACTCAGGAGTGCGAGAGGGCCATGCGGGATGCCAAGCCGCGGCGCGGTGGCAGCGGCGGCGACGGCGGCGATGGCGATGGCGATGCGCATTTAGAAGGTCCTTTTCCGTGGTCCGCGGGTGGGTATGAGTGGAAGAGGTTAAGTCCGACGGGGCGCGGAATGGATGATGCCTCAGCGGCGGATGCCGCCGCCGCCCCGCCAGCGGCGCCGCCAACGGGCACTGCGTCGTGCAGCGCTGCTGGCGCAGCAGCAGTGGCAGGTGTGAGTTCCAGAGGAAGTGGAGCTCAAGGGCACAGCGGTGGGGTCGGCGGCGGCGTGCCGCCGCCGCCGCCGCCGCCGCTGCGTGACCACTTCTACGGTCCCGTGCACTTGTGTGCCATGGACATGGCGCACAGGTACGAGCATAAACTGGGTTCGACGCCAGTGTCGGCAGCATTCCGTCCCTTTCTGGGCAAACACTCCCCCGAGGAGGAAGTTGATCACGCGCACCCCGTCAACCCTGCGAAGCTTCTATCGTACATGCGGCACATGTTAGATGCTTATGGGGTATTGAGCGACCCACGGGTCATTCAGGTGCGGGAACAGTGCGTTGCGATGCAGTCATGGGCAGCAATGCGCGGGCAAGATGCGGCAATGGCCGCCTCCGCCTCCGCCTCTGACGACGATGATGCATCTGCAGCCGCAACCACTGACCCTGCGGAGCGCCTGGCGAAGCTCCGCCTCCGAAACCGGGATCCGCATGAGGCATGTATCGCCGCCCTGAAAGCTGCAGTCGCGGCTGCGCCTGCTAAACGTTCGGCCGCTGCAGCGGAGCTGCCATTGCCACCACGCGGATCCAGGGCTGCTGCAAAGCGCGCCGCACCGTGTCCCCAGGCTTCCCGTCGAACCTTGTCACGCGCTGGCCGCGGTGGCGGCGGCAACGCTGCCAACAGTAGTGATTACGATCTGGAAGATGACGTCATGGATGGCGCCGCCGCCGCCGCCGCTGCTGCTGCTGCCGCCGCCGCCGCCGCCGCCGCGGCTAGCGCGGAGGATGGCGGCGTCCTCGTGGTTGGTGGAGCTCAGGTTCCCGTGGGGCTCAAGGTGCCCGTGTACCCCTTGACGGCGGATGACACGCTGTTCATGACCAGCGGCGATTTGATGCGGCTCGCGCACCGGACGCTGGTGCTGCACGCGCCGTTGTGGCTGCGGGACATCCTGCACGAGCGCCACAACGACGCGCTCGACTTTGGGACGTGCCGGTGAGTGAGAGGAGCTGGGCTTTCGGTGGATGGATAGCTGGTGGGGCGGATGGTGGATTATGGAGGGGGGAGGGCGGTGGATGTGGGCTTCCTTTCGTTCGTGCAGTCGCGGTGACGCGGCTGCCCAGCACGGTAATGATGGGGGGATGTACGGGGTAAGGGTGGGCGCTTTAGGGGATGTGGGTTGCTGCATGGTATACGCTCTGTCCGTGGTCTGGGGCCCTTAAACTCAGCCGCGGTCTGTGAAACAACACAGTGGTAGTGTGCTGCCCCGCCCGCTTGCCGCGTATAGGGCCCCGAGGTGAGCTAACCCCCGAGTGCGGTTGACTGACCGGCTACAGTTGCCGGTCACGGCCAGCGGCCTTTGCGTGGCGCAACAGATATATACACATACATACGTACCTACATGCAGACATACATGTTTTCCCTTTCCCCTGCAGGCCAACGGATGGCGGGCTGGGCGTCTTTGCCCATTTCGCGAACATGCTCCGACGGCCCCTGCTGGCTCTCGAACTGGCGACCTTTGCCCACGTGGACCGCTCGCAGCCAGCCACCCTCATGTCCTTCGCCACGCCCTTTGCCGTACCGGCGGACCTCGACGCCGCGCTGAGCCGCCTTCAGAAAGGCCTTGGAGAGCGCAAACATGCGCTGTGGATGCAGGTGCGCAACCTGACGGATCAATGGAGGTGGCAGCACCCGGCGGCAGCCGCGAAGCGGCCACCAGTGGCGGCGGCCGCTGCGCCCTCCGGCGGCGATACCCAGCCGCTGCTCAACGCCAGCCCCGACCGCACCCCCCGACGCGGCTCCGTTTGGGTCGTCGTACCCGGCTGCCGACTACACCAGCTGGCGCAGGCGTTGAACAAGAGTGCTAAGCGTGGTTGGCCCCGAAACCACAGCGGTTTTTTCTCCGTCAAGTATGGACGTGATTTGGACGCGCTGGTGACGATGTGCTGGCGGTACGGCGTGCCTTTCCACGCCACCTACCACTGCGAGGGTGATCTGCTGCTGCCCGGCATGGGGGCCGCCCACGCCGTCATGCCGTTACACTGCGCCTCCATGAAAATCAGCAAGGACTTCTTGACGCCGTCGGGGCCGGCGCTGCGACTTCTCTGGGAGCTGGATGCCCTACGGCAGGAGCATCACCTGATGTGGGCTGCGCGGCGGGCGAAGGAGCAGAAGATAGACCCGCCGCCGCGTTCAGATTCCGCGGTTGCCACCGCCGCCGCTGCCGCCGCTGTGGTGCCGCCGCCGCCGCCGAGAGCGAAGGAGCGGGGGCGAGTACGGCTGCGGGAGGAGCCGCAGGTGGATGTGATTGAGGGTATAGCGGAGGAAGGGCCGGCAGCCTCGCTACTGCCGCCGTCACCACCGTTGCCGCCGCCGCAGCAGCAAGAGCACCCGGAGGACGAGGAGGAGGTGAAGGTGGAAGAGCAGGGGGCTGCTCCCCAGTTGCCTGGCCAGGCGGAGGGCCAGGCCGCCGCTGCCAACGCGATAGGGTTCTTCTGTGCGCTGGGGATCCGGGATGCAGCAGCGGCGGCTGTTACCGATGTGGTGGTGACGGAGGCGACGGGTGCAGCGGATGTAGCTGTAGCGTCGCCGGTGGCGGCCATGGTTGATGTGACTGAGGAGGCTGTGGTGATGGGGGCGTTACATGCGCCTACGGCCCCTTGCGCGCCGGATGGCTTGGCGGGCGGCTGCCCAGTGGAAGTGGCCGTGAGGGGCGAGGGTGGGATGTCAGGTTTGTGGCCCGGAGACGTGGCGTGTGGTTTTCTGTCGCCGCCAACACCAGCGACTGCCACAGTGGTGCTGGCGCAGGAGGAGACGAAGAAGCAGGCGCTGCTGCGGGCGGCTGCCCGGAGCCACGCCAGAGCCTTTACGGCAGTAGCAGCTGCAGATGCCGGCACTACAGCAGTAGCAGCACAAGCACCACGACCACCACCATCAGCGGCGGCGATAGATCACGGAGATGTACGACAGCAGCAGCAGCAGCGGACATTGCAGGCGATTCCGGAAGCGCTGTTGAAGGAGGTGGTAATGGGAGAGCATTGTCCAACAACGGGGAATCAAGAACCGGAGGAAGATAGCACGGAACGGTCTGATAAGAGTTTGGCAGCGGCGCCGCCGCCGATAGGTACAGATGCAGCGGCGACGACGGCGGCGGCGCTGTCTGCGGTAGTCACGGCACCAATGGTGACGGCATCGGCCGCGCGGCCGTCAGCAACGGGGACTGCGTGCCGCTGCCTGGGGATGACGGAGCGCGCCGTGGCGCCAGTTGGAGCTCAGGTAGGCTCTTCCGGGGCCGTGTGTCTGTATGTCGGGAGGCAGTGAGTCGAGTGCGGGTGGGCCGCCGTAATCCTTTTGATAGTCCTACTAACCGTTTCCATTGCTACTGCTGTTGCTGCTACTGCTACTGCTGTTGCCGCTGTAACTGCTTCTGGTGCACACGGACCCGCGTTTCCCGGCTCCTCCTCCTCCTCCTCCTCCTCAGCAGCAGCAGCAGCAGCAGCAACAGCACTGCGCGCGTCCCACATCGTCGACCTTCAAACCCATTCTGGCAGAGCTGGGTCTGATCACTTATATGGCTGAAGATGAGGAGAACCAGGATGAGAAGGGGGTGAAGGAGGGGGTGGAGAGCGACGGGAAGGGTATTAGGGGCCGGGAGTTGGGAAGAGAGGGTGTGCGTGAGGACAGCCGTGGAGCCAGTGGCCAGTGCTGCGAAGGGAGACGGCAGTTGCAGCGGGCCCACTGTCAGGCCGCTGTTGGTGCTACAGTTTACACTAGCAGACAGGCCGACTGTAGTAGTGTTGAGCCGGGGACCGGCTCCGACGCACAGCTACCGCCGTTGCCGTTGCGCTCGTTGCCACCCGCGGAGGTGCCGGATAGCGGTGTGGTGGAGGGCGATGGGGCTGCTACGACTTTGTATGGCAATGGTTCTTGCGGCGGCGGCGGTGGTACGACGACGCTTGGCGTTGCGACGACGGAGCCGGCTGTCTGCGGCAAGGCATCCGCCGCTGCCGCTGCCACTGCCTGTGCTGGCGTTGCCCGTGATGACGGCGCGGGAGCTGGAACCGTAGCGGCGCCGACCGTTGCTATTGCTGCTGCTGCTGCTGGCGCTACCAAAACCTGCCGTTGCGCTGCGTCGATGGCGGGGCTGTCTGCGGCGGAGGGCGTTCACGGTACCGTGCAGTGTACGAGCTGCAGGGAGGAAGACAATGGAGGTAACGTGCGGCCCAGTAGTTCCAAGCCGACGGAGGCCAGCGGGCCTTGGTTGTCTGACGGCACAGCAAACATCGTCACGTCCGCTTTTGCCGTCGCGACGCTCTTGACGGTGGCGACAGCGCGTATGGCGCCTGGACTCAGCAGCAGTCCGGAGCCAGGAGGTACAATGTCGGCTGCCAGTGATGGATACGGCGACGGCGGCGGAGGCGGAGGCGGAGGCGGAGGGGGCAATGGTGCGGTGGCGGCGGCTGCTGCGGCAGACGGCGGCGAGCTTAGCGGTGTATGCAGTGCGGATGGTGGTCGTGGTGGCTGTGGGGAAGCTGCCGGCGGTAAGGCAGGCTGTGCCGACGGATTCGCCGCGGCTGCCGCCGCTGTCGGCGTTGAAGGATCTGTCGCCGCTGCCGACGTGGACGCTGACGTGGCCGGGGAGGTTGCCCCAGCCGTCGTCGTCCCGCTGGCCTCCCCCGCTACCCACATTACGGTGTCCGGCACAGGGCCAGGGGACATGACCGAGTACGGCTCCGAGGAGGGGCTCCGGAACCAGGGTCAACAGCAGCAGCAGCGGCAGCAGCATCAGAGGGCTCTGGGTGTGGATTCGGAGATTGGCACCGCCGTCGTTGCTGACGGCGAGGCACCGCGGGTGCAGCCGTGTACGGCGGCGGAGGTGCCGCCACCTCACCTGAAGCAGCTACTCATCAAGGAAACCGTGGATGCTATCGCCGCTCTCCTGCCGCCACAGCCCTGCATTCGAGTGCAGGCCGCGGCGCTCCTGAGCAATCTGGCCCTGGTCCACCGAGCCCGCGCAGCAGCAAAAGAGGCTCTTGCGCGCGCCATGGTCAATAGACATCAGCACATGATGTATCCGCACCTGGAGGAGCGCGGCACAATGTCGCGTCTAGCGCTGTTGCTACAGCTGACGCCGCCGTTACCGCCGCTGGCGGCGGCCGTAAACCGCACGCCAGCGACGCGTTCACTTTCGGACGCCCTGTCTCCGCAGATGCCGGCAGCCGAGGTTCTGCAGCCGGACAGCTCCGTATGCGCATGTCCGGTCAGGGAGGAGCCCGAGCACGCAGCGCAGTTGATGATTTCACTTCCAAATCAGCCGCAGCCGCCGCCGCCGCCGCCGCAGCAGCAGCAGCAGCAGCGCCAGCCGGCGGTACTGCGCCAGCAGCCCAAGTTGCCGACTGTTGAGGATCAGGCTGCGCGGACGGCACGTAGGAATGCGCCAGCGGCGGGGGGCGCTTTCACTGCAGGCCTTCCGGGCCCTCACCGCGATGCAGACGCTGATCTGGGCCTGGGCCTTGGCGTGGACCAGGCGCCACCACGCCGTACGACTCGCGGCAGCAAGCAGCGCTTAGTGAAGGAACAACATGCGGCGGCAGCGCAGGAGCGACAAGCGACGGGCCAGGACCAGCCGCGCAAGCAGCAGCAACAGCAGCAGCAGCCTTTTGGCGGTACAGTGGCGAGGGCTGCCTCCGCGGCGGCGGCACAGGCAGGCGGCGGCGGCGGCGGTGTCGTTGCCACCACCGACCATGGCGGCGGTGATGTCTTGGAGGACCTGCCTCTTACCATGCCCTTTGCTCTCGGGTCGGGAGGTGCCGGACGGAGAGCGAAAGGCGCATCGGCAGCCGCTGTGAAGCGGGGGAAGAAGGGGCCAGGATCTGCTGCTGGCGGCGCGGCGGCAGGATTCCGGATGCAGGGGGCCCAGCGGGGCGCCGCTTTGGGGCCGGTGCTGCCGCCGGAAGCCGAGCAGCGCAAGCGGGGACCGCTGGAACCCGCCGGCGGAGCCGCAAAGAAGGCATGTGGCGGCGGCGGCGGCGGTTGCGGCACGGCTGTAGGGCCATTAAAGGTGGCCGCGGCGGCGGCAGCGAAACCGCGGGCTGAGAAAGCGGACCGCGGACCGCATGTGGGAGCGGCGGCGGCTGCAACAATGGGGATGGGTGCCCTGGGCGTGCCGACGTCGGAGAACGGTGTGGCGTTGGGCAATGCCCGTGATGCGTTCCTCACGCAGTCTATCCTGGTGGGCCTTGCGCTCAATGTGTCGTACACAAGGTGTCATCAGGAGCTGCTGCATCTATGGCACAGGCGGGCAGCGGAAAGGGCGGCGGCCGCAGCCACCGCAGGCGGTCAAGCCGCGGCGCGCCCGTAGCCGTCGCCGATGCAAGTCCGCGCAGGTGGTGCTATAACCGGTTGGAGGCGTGCTCAATAAGTGTAACCTGCATCCGCCGTGGACATTTAAGGTTGTGAATTATATAGATACTGAGGGTTTTTGTCGGCCCTGGGGAGGTGGTGTTGTGCTGTGACAGGCTTTCTCTTCTTATGAAAGACGAACGTTGTACAGAATGCTGTCGATGGGGGCCTGTGTTGGCGCGGAGGGTGCAGTGTAATTTGGCGGGCGGATGACCGTAGCGGGACAATTCCCCGTTGGGTAGTCTGAGTTCCGGCCTAGATGTGGAGGCGTAGGTACAGGTTTACGTGGGTGTAGAGGCGGTAGCTGTTCAGGGGAGCGTTGAAGATGTGCTGTGCTGCGCTCTGTACTGAAGCTATGGACGTGGTACGTGTCAGGCGGAAAAGAGATTGTGAATCTGGATCTGGGAATGAGCTGTCTGTCTGAGGAGGATGTTAGGCTGGTTTGGAGTGAGTATGCCACTCGCTGCCCAGTGCTGCAATGCCTGTTTTGTGTATGTTTTTGTGTGGGGGAAGGGGCGGGGGTGCGAAGTTGCCGCTACCAGGCGCCTTTTCGCTCGTGAGCTCTTTATACCTGTGCAGGATCAGATTAGGGTAGCAGCGGCTAGTGATGCTGATACATCCCGGATACACGGGACTGAATTTTACAGTCCTTGCGCACTTCGTCTTGATGTGGGAGGTCTTCGGTGGCAATCGCTGCTGCTGGATGGTCTCCGGACCGCATGGATACATCGCACGGCCTTTGGCGCGACCCACATGACGGGATGTCATGTGTAAAGTTTTCTTTGTTAGGGTGGGATAGGGTTCCCGATGAAGAGGAGGGACACAAGCGTTGTGGTTACCTGGAGGGGGGGCGCCTCCGGAGATGTATGCGGGCGCTCGTTGTGCTGCAATTGGGAGTGGGCCAAGCACACCTTGCTTATCGTTACATTTGGGTCGTGTTGCCTTCCATAAAGGCTTCCATGGTGGAGTTGGTGGAAGTGGTGCTATGAATGCCTACTTTCTCCAACTCGCGCTATCTCTGCGGCAGAGTGCGCCCTGACCGTCGCGCCCCCTGACCGTCCCTACCAGACTTGGTTAGGTTTGGTGGGACCGCATGTGAGGGGTAACGCGCGTCACAGCGTATATCACGAGTGTCTCAGGAACCAGAACCGTCCAGATTTGGTGGGGACACGTCTGTGCGTGTCACCGTAACCAAGGGACAAACGTGTGTGTGCTTGGGTAGGTCCAGCAGGCGGTTCGCACCAGTGTAACAACAGAGTCGCCTACTAGACTAGAATCCAAACTCGTCAAGGCAGTGTGCAGGGGCTTAAACCTGATTGCCGGCCTAGGACCGTCACGCGCAGTTCTTGGGTGAAGGCTGCACGGCGTTTCAGCCTTAGATATCAATGACCTGAGCCGTAACCCTGCTGGGGTATCTGTGACACGACGTGAAAACAGCGAGGAAACGATAGAAAGTGGCTATGGGCGGAAGCCGTGCCTTACACTGCCGTTTAGTGTAGTCAGTGGCTGCTGTTGGGGTGCCATCCCATGATGGTGTCTAGGTATCATCAGGCAACCTGCAAGTTCAATTTGCAGAATGTTTTAGCTTTCAGGCCCTGCGAGGGCTGTCTTCTGTTGAACATCACAGCGAGTGATTAGCCCCGTGCTTTGCAGCTAACTCGAAGCTTCGCATGTATGCCGATTTGCCGAATCAACCAGTAACGCAAACCTCTGTTCAATGGTTTGTCAACTCATGGGGCGCGCGTAACCCTCAGTAACTGTCAGTTCCGCTCAGTTGGGCAAAGTTCCGCTCAGGCCCGCTCAGTCCCACTCAAATTCCCCTAAGCTCCTCTCAGTTCCGCTCAGTTAGGCTCAGTTAGAAGATTCAAAAATTCATACAAACAATATACAATTAGGCGGGGAATTCCGTAGGCAGAAGCGACGCGCGACACGAACCCGCTCCATGCCCCCTCAGCAACCTGTTTTTCATGCCGGTCCCCGCCCAAATTTCATACCACAAGCAGGCATCGCGCACCTGGCTCCGCCGATCCTGGTGCCGCCGGCTTGGCACAGCAGCTCCCCTAGCCCAGGTGCGCAGGCCTAAACCTACGAAACCGGGCTGGAGACCCAGCCAACAGCGTGGGCCAGAAATTGGCCACTGACATGCGCCACAGCCGTTGTGACACGGCGCAACTCCCGGGCAAAGTTATCTCCACCGGCATGCATTCGCCCACGATGCTCGCGACGGGTGGAACGGTACACTAGTACCGTCCTCGGCGCCCGCACGAGCCATAGGTACAATGCAAAGTGTTCAGTCGCATAGAAAGCAGGGTGGGTCGGGCGGAAGCACCAGTCTGGCGGGCCTTGACGAGAAAGTGCAGTGCTCACGATGCTGCTTGACCTCGACACAGGCGAGCAAAACAACTCATGATATTCCGTCCAGACTTGTATCCAGGCGCGTAGGGCTGTGCGAGCAAACACCTCTTCGGGTCCAAGCCAATTTCGGGCTGAGGAGCGTGTGGGCAAGCGGGCGCACTTCGAGTCAAAAGGCAAGTATGCAGAGCGGCGCATGGGGCTGACCCTGTTTCCATCTGCTGCGTCTGGGTGCACACGGTTTCACACGGTTGACAGGTGGGCCCGAGCGCGGGTGTTGCATATGGTGGGTGTTTGGAACAGGGGCGGGTTGTGCTGCAAGAGGTGTAGTCACGTTTGGATGGCGTGTGGAATTGCCATACGCGTGCCTTGCCGCTGAACCCCAACCGCGCTGCATGGAAGCGTGCGTGGGCCCGTAATTCGCCCACCACCCTGCAAGACTCACTCAAGCGTTGATTGCCCGGGGGCTCAGCCCATTTTCCAGCTGTACAAAGCTGACATACCCTTGTCACAGTCACACATGGCTGCAACATCCTAAAAATAAGTACAGCCTTTGACAACTCTTTTGAGATACACTCAACAGGATTTCTCGGATTACTATTCAGCATAGTGGTCGGTTCTGTCCTCACATGTGTGCAACCCCGCACATCCCTAGCACCCCACCACCACCACCACCACTTTCACCGTGTCCACCACCATTACCCAAAAAGCACGCCGAAGGTTCTTGCAGGTCATTGTGCAGGTTGTCCTTACAGGTTTTCTGGTGGTTTTTTATATTTGGTACATTATTTTTTATTACCCCTCAAGGATTGCTCATCATAACCGCCGTCACCGCCACCGTCATGTGCCCTGCTGCTTCTGCCTCTGTCGCTGCCCTCCTGTCACGTGTGCCTGACCCTTGTTTAGTCTGGCTTGGTGTAGATTGGGCTGGCCTTTGCACCCCCGTTGATGATGCGAGCAAGGGAGCAGGTATTGTGATCGTCCCAAAAGCAGGTCAGTAAACCCCCGGACCATACATCAGCAGCAATTACATATGCAGTTTGGGACAGAGGCTGGCAGGTGTGCGCTGTGACTGTATCGACAGATAGCTGGCCGCGGTTGCTGGAACGTTTTTTTGGCTGTCGTTCCTCACGCTCCGGCCTTTGCAACCCTGTCGGGTCCCACTCCACTCACGTGGAGCATGAGCATGGTGCCACACAGCACTATATGTGTCGCAGCTGTCTACCTGCGGATTACAAAAACGTGACAATGTGCACATGGTCTTTGGTTACACGGAAACAGCTGTTCCCTGTTGGGTTACCGACCCAACACCCAGTCGTGCACAGCTAGGCAAACGTCCGCCAAAGCCACGCCTAACATCACAAGACCAGACACACCATGCTGAAGTCCGCGCAGTAAAGCGTCAGGAGACGCAAACTTCTTCCCAGGGGCACATCCAGGCTCAAGCTGCAAGGCCAAACCCTGAAAGCGTCCCAAAATCTTGTGCCGAGGCACGCACTGGTCCTGGCTGAAGGACCCGTATGGGGACCAGATAGGAGGTCCAGATGCTCAATATTGCAACATAGCATGCAATATGACATGCCCATACTGCAGTAGCAAGCACGCAACACACCGAACCCGCCATCAAAGCTGACCGATAAGTCATTACGGTAGTCTGCAGTTGCTGGCTCAATCTTGACCTGCACTAGCACTGGTGCTACATACAAGACCGTTGCACAATTGCTGCTCTCAATGCAGCATGCTGCCACTGCAGCGCACCTTTACGGCCTCCTTGCGTACAAACGGCTCCTTAAATCTCGTCCAATCACTCTAGCCTATCTAGATGCCGCACACCCCTGGCCTCGCTTATCAGGCAGGCAGTCCTCCGTAGCCATGATGCTGCCAGTCCCCGTTTGCCATCTGCCGGCTCTGATGACGGGCTGTTTTAAGCTCCACAAGCAAAAAACGGCCACACCACCGCCAGCCCTGGGCAGGCCAGCAAGAAGTCAAGCAGCATGAAGAGGCAGGCAGTGCATGCCTGCCCTTAAACGTCTCCGGCCTCCACAGCTCTGCAGTGCACCGTGGCAAGCGAAGGACATCCATTCAATTGCAACACTCCATTTGGTGACAAACCGTGGCACATCAGTGCACAAGAGCGTGGGGCAGCAAGGAGGCTACCCCACCCAGATGGCCCCCAGACACTCTGAGCACACTGTCTCACCGTTACCTGAGCTGACTGTCCCAACCCCGTGCCCCGTTCCTCACTCCAAACTCACCAGCCTTGCCCTCACAGCTCGATGACGCGCTCTGCCGCAGCGATGAGCACCTTCGCAGCGGAGCGCACCGGCGCGTACACCTCCTCCACCGCGACCTGGGCTGCACCTCCCCGTATCCATGGCCCCCCTCGTCCCCTGTCGGCCACCACGCCCACTTACCGTGCGTTAGAACCTGCGCTCCTGTCCCACAGTGGCGAATGCCTCATGTGTCAGGGCTTATACTGCCACAGGCTCGTAGCCTGCCAGGGAGGCGTGCCGGCTTCCATTCACCACCCTACCCATGGCACGGACCCACACCCCTACCAGCCCAGACCCGTTCCAGCTACCTTCGACCCCATACCCTGCGCCACCACCCCACAATGGTGGACACTTTACGCATCACGGCTTGGCTGCCATTACCTCTGACTCTGCCCCGGACGGAGGCATGCCAAACACCCTTACACCGCAGGCAGTCACTCAGGCTTGCCAGGTCAAGGGCTGCAACCGTTAACCGTCTCCAAAAACCAACCGCATTCGCAGTAATGCGCCACGCGCAGGGCTCATGCAGTCCCTGTGGCTTCTATGCGGATTCGCGCATATGGTGCGAGCTCGGTAGCTGCACGCGAAGCGCGCACGCGCCAGCGGCTGCAGGCACATGCTATGCCATGCGGGCCCGTGCTGTCGGCCCGTCGCCTACGTTCCATGCGGGCCCGTGCTGTCGGCTCGTCGCCTACAAGCGCTTGGCAAGTGCTTCGAACGTCTTCCAGCGCTGCGCCACGCTCGGCAGGGGCCAGCGCATCCGCTTGCGCCGAGGCGCACTGCATATGCCCAGTAGGGACGCGTGGCAATGGCATATACTTCATTCTTATAGACTGTAGAGGCTTGCGCGGCCGTGTGCAGCGATTTGGCTGCCGCTGGCGTGACATGGTGCCGCGCGACGGTCAGGGCGCACTCTGCCGCAGAGATAGCGCGAGTTTTGCAGTTGTTGTTTAGGTAAAAAGGGCGCGAATTATGTGTGTTACCGGTGCATGGGACGCCTCATGCACGACCAGTTGCGCGAGTCGTGCATGCGGCTTGACAGTTTTTTCACTTGTTAAAATATGTTCACGTCTTACAAACCAAACTTCATGGGCATAGTATAAGACATTGCACAGATGGCCACAAGTGCTAACCGGGGTTGGGCATCGGACGCTAAGCAAAGCACATGTTACGTGTACAAGCATACCACAGGAGCTGAGCATGATGTGAGCTCCGTGTCCACTCTCTGGTCAACGCTGCGGAGCCCTGGAGAGGACTTATCGGTCTTCGAGGCGCTACCCGCTGGCACTGCACCCGAAATCACGCGCAACCACGTCATTGTTTACAAGAACGCACAGCACAGCGATGTGGACGCACCCAGCACTTCAGAAGATGCCAGAAAGTGGCGCAAGCTCTGTGAAACGGCCGGACCAGAGCCGCAGCCAGGGGAGCTCCTACAGCTCGCGGACCTGCTGTATAAGGCGGAGGTCGTGCTCGTCGATGAGCTGAATTCGCTGCTGGCCGAGGCTGGGCTGCGGACGATCGACCATGTCGCCGAAGCAGTCCGAAAACTGGGCGACAAGTACATCAGCTTCGCGGAGAAGGACGAACTCACCACCATTCTGGTTGCGGCCTTCTCGCGGCTGACGGGCTCAGCCGACGACGCGAAGGCTGCCATCGCGCAGTGGCCGGAGGTGATGGACTGGCACCGCCGCCGCGTGGCTTTTGCGCACCCGCTGGGCAACAAGACCATCGACAAGAGCAAATTGGGCAAGTTAAAGGCCCAGGTCGCGGTGGAGGAGGTGTACACGCCGGTGCGCTCCGCTGCGAAGGTGCTCATCGCTGCAGCAGAGCGCGTCACCGAGCTGTGAGGGCAAGGCTGGTGAGTTTGGCGTGAGGAACGGGGCACGGGGTTGGGACAGTCAGCTCAGGTAACGGTGAGACAGTGTGCTCAGAGTGTCTGGGGGCCATCTGGGTGGGGTAGCCTCCTTGCTGCCCCACGCTCTTGTGCACTGATGTGCCACGGTTTGTCACCAAATGGAGTGTTGCAATTGAATGGATGTCCTTCGCTTGCCACGGTGCACTGCAGAGCTGTGGAGGCCGGAGACGTTTAAGGGCAGGCATGCACTGCCTGCCTCTTCATGCTGCTTGACTTCTTGCTGGCCTGCCCAGGGCTGGCGGTGGTGTGGCCGTTTTTTGCTTGTGGAGCTTAAAACAGCCCGTCATCAGAGCCGGCAGATGGCAAACGGGGACTGGCAGCATCATGGCTACGGAGGACTGCCTGCCTGATAAGCGAGGCCAGGGGTGTGCGGCATCTAGATAGGCTAGAGTGATTGGACGAGATTTAAGGAGCCGTTTGTACGCAAGGAGGCCGTAAAGGTGCGCTGCAGTGGCAGCATGCTGCATTGAGAGCAGCAATTGTGCAACGGTCTTGTATGTAGCACCAGTGCTAGTGCAGGTCGAGATTGAGCCAGCAACTGCAGACTACCGTAATGACTTATCGGTCAGCTTTGATGGCGGGTTCGGTGTGTTGCGTGCTTGCTACTGCAGTATGGGCATGTCATATTGCATGCTATGTTGCAATATTGAGCATCTGGACCTCCTATCTGGTCCCCATACGGGTCCTTCAGCCAGGACCAGTGCGTGCCTCGGCACAAGATTTTGGGACGCTTTCAGGGTTTGGCCTTGCAGCTTGAGCCTGGATGTGCCCCTGGGAAGAAGTTTGCGTCTCCTGACGCTTTACTGCGCGGACTTCAGCATGGTGTGTCTGGTCTTGTGATGTTAGGCGTGGCTTTGGCGGACGTTTGCCTAGCTGTGCACGACTGGGTGTTGGGTCGGTAACCCAACAGGGAACAGCTGTTTCCGTGTAACCAAAGACCATGTGCACATTGTCACGTTTTTGTAATCCGCAGGTAGACAGCTGCGACACATATAGTGCTGTGTGGCACCATGCTCATGCTCCACGTGAGTGGAGTGGGACCCGACAGGGTTGCAAAGGCCGGAGCGTGAGGAACGACAGCCAAAAAAACGTTCCAGCAACCGCGGCCAGCTATCTGTTGATACAGTCACAGCGCACACCTGCCAGCCTCTGTCCCAAACTGCATATGTAATTGCCGCTGATGTATGGTCCGGGGGTTTACTGACCTGCTTTTGGGACGATCACAATACCTGCTCCCTTGCTCGCATCATCAACGGGGGTGCAAAGGCCAGCCCAATCTACACCAAGCCAGACTAAACAAGGGTCAGGCACACGTGACAGGAGGGCAGCGACAGAGGCAGAAGCAGCAGGGCACATGACGGTGGCGGTGACGGCGGTTATGATGAGCAATCCTTGAGGGGTAATAAAAAATAATATACCAAATATAAAAAACCACCAGAAAACCTGTAAGGACAACCTGCACAATGACCTGCAAGAACCTTCGGCGTGCTTTTTGGGTAATGGTGGTGGACACGGTGAAAGTGGTGGTGGTGGTGGTGGGGTGCTAGGGATGTGCGGGGTTGCACACATGTGAGGACAGAACCGACCACTATGCTGAATAGTAATCCGAGAAATCCTGTTGAGTGTATCTCAAAAGAGTTGTCAAAGGCTGTACTTATTTTTAGGATGTTGCAGCCATGTGTGACTGTGACAAGGGTATGTCAGCTTTGTACAGCTGGAAAATGGGCTGAGCCCCCGGGCAATCAACGCTTGAGTGAGTCTTGCAGGGTGGTGGGCGAATTACGGGCCCATGCACGCTTCCATGCGGCGCGGTTGGGGTTCAGCGGCAAGGCAGGGGCGCCGAGCGGCTGCTGATGATGATGGGGATAATGGGCAGGATGGTGCGGAATGTGCAGATGATAATGCAGACCCATCCTCCAGCCACGGTGAGCCTCCATGCTGTTGATTGTTGGTGTTGCCTGTTACTTAAGTGCATGACGTGACCATTGCTAACGGTGCCGCAGAGCTTAATTGCAGTGACTGTCGGCAGTGGATTGCGGCCCTGGCGTGGATGCAGACATTGCAGCACGTGCTTGTAACTGGGATGGCTGTTCCTCGTGAACTGAACATCACCGAGGACCCCACCATCAGTACAGTGCTGTCATCCGTTAAAGAGACGGAGAACAAGCGGAAACGTGAATCAAGGTATACACCCGCTAGCCCGGTACTGTCCGTTCTCTCGGTACTCAATATTGCCAGTACGACAGTACAATTCTTCGGTGCCGTTGTATCGTTTGCCTGTAGGAGGGATCCAGGGACCGTACTGCCTGACGACATTACTGACGACCACGTGAAGGCAATGATTGACTTTTTTGCTGGTCCGACCCGTGGCACATGTACAGTTCAGCAGGCCTGGAATGGGGCCCAGGCAGCGTTTGAGGTTGCGCTGTCTGCTAACACCTTTTCGCGTGGATGCACTGTGCGAGATTTGCGGTACTGCTGTTTGGCGCTGCAATGGTACCCGCCTAGCCCCAGCTGTATGATCCCGGACAAGGCAATTGAAGTCTGTGTTTTCACAACAACGGCTGCTAAGGTCAACGCAGGCAACGAGCAGTTGAACGTGGTGTCGACACGCCATCGGCTCTGGTACCTTTGCCCTTGGTTCTGGATGACTGTGTTGATTTACTTACAGCAGGTGGCTATCGGGACCCATATAGTGGATGCGGTTGACGGCTCGGAAGTGGTGCTTTCAGGCTCTGGGCTTCCCCCTGTAGACAAAGGCAAAGCAGTGTACTACGAGTGGAAGGTAATTTTGGATGGATTAATGCTAAGCATGGCTTTCATTTGTGATGAGCACTCAACATGATGAGCTGTTTGCAGGTTGTGAACAACGGGAACATTCTCTCGGATATCACTAGGGTCTCACACATCAGCGATTTCCAGAAGGCCATGGAGGCAGCCGGTATTACTAATGTAGTACAGCGGACGCACCTGACTCGCAAGGTATTTCCACTCAAGGCTCGCACGAAGTGGAGTACCGCACTGGAGGACCTGGAGAGTGTGGGCCTTTGGGATCGTGGTATCGTTGAGAAGTCGTATGTGATGTTGCCCCCAGGCGATGCCCTTGCTAACATTGCTGACTTTGGCGGGCGCCGAGAGTACTACTTGCCACGAGCTGATCTGCATCCCCGCGACTTCCCGGAATTGCTGCCTATGCTTCACGACTCACCGTGCATGGCATGCTCGACGACTTGCGGAAGGTGAGCGGGCTTTCCTCCTGTTCCCCTGGTTCCCTGCGTCAGATCCATGTGAAGCTGATGCCCTTGTGCTTGTCTCTGAAAAATGCGAAGCTGAGCGTGGAAGCCAAGGATCTCGCTAATGAGCGTCTTCTGCGCTGCTATCGGGAGCTGTTCGAGCCCATCTTCTTTCAGGACCTCCCCCTGTTCTATGCTCTGTATCCGGACAACCCTGTCTACAGGTGAGCGGTGTCACATCATGCATAGCTTCAGGATTCAAGATCATGCTTACTTGTCTGCGTTTGTGCCTTTGTAGAACTCCGTGGTTTGATAAATGGATGCAAGAGGGAAGCCTGCGGCGCTGGTTCGCCATTCAGCAAACATACTGCAGACATATGGATGCCGTTGTCGAGGGCAAGCAGCGAGAGACAACTGCCTTTGAATCCGTAGCTGTGCACGTCAGGTCGCAGCGAGATCTGGCAATGCAGTACATGAAGGCGAGAGGAGTGCTGCCGCCCTCCATAAATCACACAACACCGCAAACCATGCAGCAGGCTATCGAGGTAAGGACATCTGTTATTGGGGTTGCAAGGTGACCACTTGGTCTGGTGACAACTTGGCAAGGTGACCACTACGTCCACTGCAGTGTTTATTTTTTTGGTAATATATTACTTTTTTGGGAATAAATGGGGGTCTGAGCCTGGAAGAAATGGAATAATTGGCCAGTTGGCCGTACTGGTTCATTACTTCGGCTATAAGTCGCCCCAAATGCCTTCTGCACAGATAAAGCTGAACATCTGGAGCTTATACACTATTTATATATAAAATATTTGATATCACCATGAGGCGGCCCGCTGTTGCATTCAACTTAGGTTAATGGGGCATTCGTTCATTCTTGACCAAAGCAAAGGGCTCAGAAAGTCCGCAGACGCAATGCCCCAAACATTTAGAAGAAGAATTAGATAATACAGAAGACAAGGATAGGCATGTATGTTTCCAGACGTCAGGTGTTGCTTACAGCACACCGTACAGCCTTTGCGGGGGGGGGTCAGGGGGGGGTCTGGGGGGGGCGCAGCCCCCCCCAGCGACTATACAAAAAGGAATTGTAACCGCAAGAAACACCCAGTTTATTACTCTGGGGTATTAGGCTCAAAACGAAAAAAAAAACACTGGTCCACTGCCTTCACCGTTTCCTGTTGTAGATGGCAGCCCGCTTGCGTGAGCAGCTTGGTCAGCAATCCATTGACGCCGTTGCATGTGACGTCCGATTGCCTACCTTGGCCAACGCTGGTTTGGTCCCTGATGTGGAGGGCGGGGCGATGCAAGCACAGCTTGGCAGCGGCGGTGGCATCACTGGGCATGCCGCCGCCATCCCTTCCCCTCACGAGCTACAGTTCAGCAGGGGCGGGGGCCCGCAGCCAGCCCAGCAGCAGCTTGGCAGGGGCGGCAACGGCGTCGACGGCTATGGCGCTGCTGTGCTACAGGTCAGCAGGGTCGGGGAGGGGCAGCCAGCTCAGCAGCAGCTTGGCAGCGGCAGCAACGGCCTCGACGGCTATGGCGCCGCCGTGCTACAGGTCAGCAGGGTCGGGGTCCTGCAGCCAGCCCAGCAGTAGCTTGGCAGCGGCGGCAACGGCGTCGACGGCTATGGCGCCGCCATGCTACAGGTCAGCAGGGGCGGGGGGCCGCAGCCAGCCCAGCAGTAGCTTGGCAGCGGCGGCAACGGCGTCCACGGCTATGGCGCCGCCATGCTACAGGTCAGCAGGGGCGGGGGGCCTGCAGCCAGCCCAGCAGCAGCTTGGCAGCGGCGGCAATAGCGTCGACGGCTATGGCGCCGCCGTGCTACATCCTGCTGATCCTCCTAGTGATTGGGAGGCTGAGCCAGCCTAGTGATTGGGAGGCGGCGGCAATAGCGATTGGGAGGCGGATCCTCCTAGCGATTGGGAGGCGGATCCTCCTAGCGATTGGGAGGCGGATCCTCCTAGCGATTGGGAGGCGGATCCTCCTAGTGATTGGGAAGCGGATCCTCCTAGCGATTGGGAGGCGGATCCTCCTAGTGATTGGGAGGCGGATCCTCCTAGCGATTGGGAGGCGGATCCTCCTAGCCATTGGGAGGTTGCACCCCTAGTGGGCGACGTAGCATGTGAGCCCCGACGGATGCGAGCTAGCATTTCCCTAGGTATGGGACTAACCCATTGTATGGATGCGGAGCGAGCGAGACTGGGCATGCGCGCCCGGACAAGGCAGCATAGTGGGCACATAGCTGAATCACTTTATGAGGGACACCTGGCGGGGCAAGCGGGACCAAATCTTGGCAGGCACCCACCCACCCCGTTGCTTCACGGAACGAGCACCTAAGCTGGATGATGGTGACCCCGGAGGCCTAAGGGGGCGCACCAAAAGGTAAAACAGACAAGAGACCTGGCTTGCAGGGAGGCGAAGGTTGGGGCACGCATCCTGGGAAGCTCCCGGGGTGGGGTGGCGGGGAAGAGCAGGCCGTGGGGGCTGGAGGCGGGTTTGTATACATCAATACATGTAAATATTCACACGCAAACATATAGTACATGCAAGTACTATGCATGTCCCAAACGCCCCTGGGCAGTGTCATTGCCACAAACAGGCCCCTCCTCCCGGCTCTTCTTCGAGCATCACCACCACCTCCCAGCAGAGTTCAAGTCGGGAAAAAATCCCCGACAGCACATCCCCAGCTGCTACTGGACAGCATTTCTCGCAGAAGGACAAAAAAACGCCGAAAAGGACCGAAACCAGCAAAGCAGCAAAAGCATGCACCGCTGCCGAGATCTCCCCTCCCCAAATCACCTCTCGCACCCACCGCTTTCAAATCGTTTCTTCTGTCCTAGGATACAAAGGTAGGCTGCACATGCTGTAATCATGATATGCCTACCCACCCTCTACCGCTACAACTCCAAACTGCGAAATCCTTCTAATGCAATACATATGATATGCCGTGAAGTCCGTTCTCCAGGCATATGTTGTAGAGTATATATACAATATAATACTTTATATATTAACACCTTCTTCATCCTTCTTCACTAACAAAACCATGCACGGTTTGGCAAAGAAAATACCATTTTAAACCCTAAACGGGCAATATTTATTATTATTACTACTACTAAAACAGCGGCTCGGTGGTGCAGTACAAGTTCCACACAATGGTTCCGACAACGTACAACGCCGCGGTCAAACTAAACACGGGCGCAAACGACCGCGTCGCGTCCACTATAAATCCCACCGCCGTTACGCCCACAATGCCGGATAGGCAACCGAACGTGTTACACAGCCCGAACATCTTCCCCGCTGCGCGCGGCGCCACATCCGACATGTTGGCTACGAAACCCGCCTGCCCCAGGGAAGTGGTCCCCAAAGCCACCGTCATGCAGCCCACTGCTGCCGCCGGTGAAAGGCCCGGCTGCGCCAGCACCAGCAGCGCCACCGCAGGCACCAGGAAGGCCACCGTCTGGAGGGTCTTGCGCACCCGGCTCACCGCCACGCCGCGCGCAACGAGCGTATCCGCGAGCAGCCCAGCCGCGGAGCTGCCCAGGGCCATGACCAGCCAGGGCAGAAAGGCGGTGAAGCTGCTGGATCGGATGTCGAATCCCAGTACCTGCGGTAGGGGGGCCAGAGAATGAGGGAAGAGGGAAGAGGGGGGAGGTGCGGAGGGTGTGTGTGTGTGTTTGTGTGAGGGAAAGAGAGTGTGTGTGTGTGTGTGCGTGTGCGTGTGCGCGCGCGCGCGTGTGTGTGTGTGTGTGTGCGTGTGCGTGTGCGCGTGTGTCGATGGTGGATGCTAGGCAGGTGGTGGTTTCGGAGGACATCAAAAGTGTGGTTTAAGCTACTAAGGGATTGAATTACACTTAAAGGAGGTGCTCTGGTCTTTTTGTTCAAAAGGGTAATAACAACGAAATGGTTCATCAGCCGCGGGAATTAGTTGCTGCGTAAGCAGCTCTATTTGGAAAAAACTACAGAAAAAGATAATGAACGTTTAAAGTCTAATGGTGGTGATCTTCACGCCCCGCAGCGCAGGGGAATACATACAATGAACTGATGCTCGACGGCCCGGCCGGCCGCCGGCTGACCCCACCTTGTTGAAGTATGTGGGCATCCAGTTCAGGTAAATGAAGTAGCCAAAATGGTTGACCACGTTGACTGTTATAATTGCCCAGGTTGCGCTGCTCGACAACAGCCGGCGGGTGCTGACGTCACCGCCACCCGACATGCTACTGCTGCCGCCGCGGCCACCGCTTGGTCCCGCCGCCGTTGCCGCCGCCGCCGCCACTGCCGCCACATCCGATGACGCCGAAGGTGGCGCGGATGCAGCTCCAGCGGCGGCGGCGCGTGTAGCTGAGTGCGCTGCCGCCGGTGGTCCGCCTGGCACCACCTTCAGCCAGAACAGCAGCAGCGGCAGTCCCAGGAGCCCGAACACGTAGAAGAGCCCCCTCCAGCCGAAGCTCACGAGCAGTAGCGGTGACAGGATGAGCCCCGCCAAGTTGCCTGCGGGGCCGGGAGAGTGATGGGGTGATGGGGGTAAGACAGCCCGCCCGGTGGTGATATAAGCCATATATGCCACTCGCGAGAGTCCCTATATGTACATGTGTATCTGTATGTATGTATATATACAGATGTTATATATATGTATATGTGCGAGGGCCGGCGCTAAGGTCACCATCACCACCAGCACAATACCTACCAACCCTTAAAAAACCCATGCGCAGGGGACTCCCCCCCCTTGCCAAGAATACACTCCCAACCCCCCACCTCCCTCCCCCACCCCCCCGGGCCCTCACCGCTATGGAAGCCTGAGAAGCAGAAGCCCAGAGCTCGGGCCTTGGACGCCGCGGCCACGTGGGCGGCCACCAGGTTGCTCATGGAAGGCAGTGCCACCCCCTCACCGAAACCCTGGGGCGGGGGGAAGATAGCAGCAGCAGTAGCAGTGGGTTTCGGCGGCAGTAGCCATACCGGCAGTTGGAGCAACTGCCGCCACCAGTGAATAAAATGAACCTATTTTTCCACGGGGGTGGGGCAGCGACGGCCGCGGGAGGGGCAGCAGGAGGAGCCCGACCCGGGCGGTAGGGGAATGAACGGACAGGTTGACGAGTTGCGGGTGCGGGAGAGACGAAAGATCTGATGAGATGATCTCCGGAAGGGCTGTTTATCGAAAGAAAATGAAAGTGCGACCATGTCTGTACGATAGTACGACCGTAGTACGACCGAAAACCCACCTCCACCCCCCCAGGGCCGCCCCAAAAGTCAAAAAACATCGGAGGACCATTTCTCCTCCCTTGGATGACACCCCAACACCCTATACACACACCCGCCACCCGACTTCTCCCCCCCCCCGCCACCCCCACCGTCAGGAATCTGGACAGCAGCACCAGTGGCACCGTCAACCCCGCCTCCACCGTCGCGGGCGACAGCGCCAGCGGCAGCAGCACCGAAGCCACCGAGAACCAGGCGATGCCGCCCGCCATCACCCACTTGCCGCCGTACCGGTCCGCCAGAGCCCCCCCAACCAGCTGGGTTGCCATGTAGCCCCACAAGAAGGCGGATTGAATGACACCCTTTTTGCGAGGTTTTTACGAATGTACGACAAGGTGTACGACAAGGGGAGTACGGGAGGGTTTTTGAACGGGGGGAGATGGAGTGTTAGTTACTTTAGTTACGTACTTGTGGCGTATCAGAGTCTATATCCTCCTTTGCATCAGCTTCACTCGTTCACGAGGTTCGTCTTCCCTTCCCTGCCCCCCCTCCTCTTTCACGCACCTACACACACACCACCCTCTGCCCCTCTAACCTGCAGGCTGGCCGGCCAGCCAAACTCCCCCGACATGGGCATGATTGCCACCGACAAGCAGATGCGGTCCATGTTGCACAGCAGCAGCGCCAAGGCGGTGGGGACCAGCACGGTGGTGAAGGGGTTGGGGCCGGGGCTGGCGGCGGGGCCGGGGACGGGGACGGGGGTGGGGCCGTCTGCGGAGGCGGCTGCCGCGGCGCATACCACCGTTCTAAGTTTGCGTGTATTCCTGATTTAGGAGGGAGGGGGGACCCGGACGGGATTGGGGTACCGGAGGAGCAGGGGGTGAGAGAGGTGAAGGAGGAGGACGAGGAGGCGGAGACGGTATGTGTGTGTATGTGTGTATGTGAGTCGTGGTGTGCCTTTGGAGCTAAGCTGTGTATGTTGGCCGAGCCCTCGGCCCCACCTGCAATCTCCATCCGTCAGGCCGTCGCGACGCTGATGCAGGAGGACATCTGCCGGTGCTGTGAGTGAGGTCCCGCATAGCCCCGTGTACGATACGCATACACGTTTGAAATCACCGCGTTGTAATTGGCGACGGCTTGCAAAAGGGCAGAAGCTTGTGGCGTAGCATGACGACGATGACGACATCGACGACAAAAGCGCCATCGCGGTGCTGCTGGTAGTTGAGGGTCTCTAACTAATATTTATTTATGACACGTAAAAGACCATTGCAGCTTACATGAACATTTCTGTGGATGTATGCGCGGTGTAATGGATTTGCGAACGACGTAAAGTACGACGTCGGCAGCTCCTGAAGGCTGAGGCAGTACATAACCCCTTTTCGTATTTCCTATTACGTTTTTTCCTTCTTCTTGACTATGTTAAGACTCGCGGTCCATGAGCCTCCTGTCTGGGCCTTACGAGCTCTCGCGAGCTTAGCATAGCAGGCAGTACATGAGGATAAACATGGCTTCTAATACCTGATATTTCACAGTCTAGCACTGCAGCTGGATTTGCCTCGCAACACTTGTAGCAACGTGAAAACGGACGTTGGCCAATTCCTAGGCAAGGCGCGTAGCATAGCCCTACAAATCAGTTATGATATATATTTTTTGCAGAAACACCGTAGCCTTCACAGAACTTTGCAATAGATCAGGGAAGAGCGGAACATTGTAATGCGTGCATGTGCATGCGTACATGTGTATTCAGGCCTCATTTAAGTGTCGTGAATGGTCCATCACGGCTCGGAGTAGGCTTCGCCATGAGAATACAGGTGCACAAAACCTATACTCGTTGGACTGAGCTTCAGAACCCTTCTCATGTGGACACAGATTTCGGTTGGCCACGAGCATAGCCTTGCTTTTTGCACTTGCGTGCAACTCTCTCCCCTTCTCATGCGTGGTTTTCTGGTTTACCACGTTTTGGCCACGAGACGTTCGCATGCTCCTGTTTTAGTAAGCCGGGCATGCACTTAACCCGGTAAGGGGTATGGCCCGGTTAAATGCACGATTACACTGTCCCCTTGGAACTGGGAAGCGTAAGAGTATGGAGCTGCATGCAGTGGTGAAGAGTGTAGGACCCTGCCACGCAAGTTTAGGCCATCCGTAGCTATTGTTCAAATGGAAGCCCCGCAGGATAATTCACGTTGTGCTTGTCAGGAACAACTACGGTTCCTTCACCTCGCCCAGGCTACTATGCTGCGCGGACACGGATCAAATGCAGCGATGCACGACAGCGGATGAGGACTTCTGTGTAAATCCCGGAGCCGTTTCACGTTCACCGGAGCAATCTGAGCACAATTTGTTACACTTAATTAGACGGATAACTAATACATCCCTCAGCAGGAGCTTTAACCAGACATGAACGGACGAGCCGTGCAGATCGTACGACTTGTCCCAAAACCAGGTCGTAAGAGGATTGGCTGGGACTGACACTATTCCACTGCTTTGCCTATTCATCCGTTGGCCCCGCATGTGCACAGGTGGCTCCCTGTTCGTGCCATTTGCTGCTTTTTGATGTGTACGCCTTGCCGTACGTGGCAACGATAGACATGTGACTGTGACCTGCGCGTGTGGAAATCCCCTTAACTCGGAGTCCACGATTCAGCATCCATGTAACATACCATACATAAAATGAGCGTAAGCGCGTGAATAGATAAGAGCGGCTCTCAGGTTAGCTGGCGGGCATCAAACTAGCTTTTGGATGTTGCCGGCCAATTGGTGAAGGTGTTTTGAAAATAAGCTCAGGATTCCACAGTTCCACAGAAAAGAAACAACCGTGACAGCCGTACGAACCGTTGCAGACAAAGTGCCTGAATCTGCCCAGACCTGGTTTTCCTTACCTTGCAGACTAACAGTCTACAACAGATCCACATGCATGTGTGACGTTTCGTGCATGCTTAAATATTTGTTACCGCTGCTTGCGTAAAAGGGCTGGTGCGTTTTGCATCTGATACCATACTGTTCATGATTAGATGCAAAGGATTAATTGGATCGTCGCCTGCGCGGATTGCTAGGGATGTGGGGCAATTTTGTTCCAGACCTTGGTAAGCTAGGCGAGCAACTGACAGCGGCGGCAGGCGAAGCATTGCAGAAAGCCACTGCTGATGTGGAGAAGAGCATCGACAGCAGGCTCGGCATTAAAGGAGGTACGCAAGGCTTTCTCGACTCCTTAGCAGTTTGCATTCCTGGCCGTAGCGAGTGAGCACAACGGAATCCGTCATCACACGCTTTTCACTCCCATCCTTCCGACAGGTTTAGGTGCCAAGGCAGCGGCAGGAAATGTTGCAGTCGAGGTGCGTGAGCCTCCCTGCGTGTCACTCCCCAGGCAAACCATCCCGCAAAACTAAAAGATCTTATTCCCTATACACATGTCACACATCGTGTCTGTTCCATCTGGTCCTCTAGGCTCAAGCACCGGCTGCGTCCGGGCTCAGCGATGGCTCTGGCTCGGCATCTGCGGACCCGGCCACGCCCATCGCTGCTCCCGGCGCCAAGCCTGGCCAGAAGAAGGTGGTCAAGAAAATAATTCGCCGCGTCGTCAAAGGCAGCAGCGCGGAACCAGCTGCGGCAGCAGCAGCCGCCGGAGGAGGAGCAACAGCCGTCTCCAGCAATGCCACGACCCCTCGTAACCCCGCAGAGGAAGGCAACGCGTTCCCAACCTCCTCCGCCGGACCATGCATCACTGATACCAGGACCGCAATGCCGCCGGGCCACTCCGATCGCACCGGCCCTGGAGCCACGACCTATGAAGGGCCCGGCTCGGCCAGCCCCGCCAGCTCACCCCCGGCACGGCTCAACGGAGCCCACCAGGAAGCCGCCGCAGGTCTGGAACCCAAACCCAAATTGAAATCCAAATCCAGTGCCCCGGTAGAGAGCGGAGTCACTTCAACCCCGGCTCCGGAACCGTCAGCTACGGGCAGTAGTGGCAGTGGTGGTCATTTGGCCAATGGGGTTACCCCGCCAGCGGCGTCACCATCATCATTATCATCATTATCACCAGCAGCAGGAGCAGCAGCAGGAGCAGCAGGAGCAGCAGCAGCAGTGCCCGCAGTAGCCCAAAGGATTTTCGGGGAAACAGATACTGCCGCTGAACCGCGAGGCCAGCCGCCTCCACCACAATCACCATCACGACGCCATCAGGAGCAGCAACAGCAACAGCAGCAGGATGGCGGAGCTCAGGAGCTAATGGCATCATCGTTTGAAGCATCCGCATCGGTATCAGAAGCAGTAGCAGCAGCAGGGGGAGCAGGCAGGGCAGCGGACTTTGGGGACGGCGGCGACGCCGACGCCGACGCTACTGCCGCCGAGCCGTCAGCGGCAATGGCAGGCGGGCCGGTCCCGGCCGGCGGGTGGGATGATGCTGGGTGGCCGGATGAGGACCTGGAGGACATACTTGCAGGACAGGCGCCTGGAGCAAGCGGCGGCGGGGGGGACACCGCTGCTGCCGCCTCTGACGGCGAAAAAGCAGCGGTGTCGTCCTCGTCGCCCGGCGCGGATGGCCCTGCGGCGGCGGTGGCGGCGGCGGGCGCCGGGGCGGCGTCCGGGGTAGCGGGGACGGTCTCTGTAGATCAGCAGCAGCCGCACAACCAGCGCCGCCAGGCGGTATCCATTGCTGCTGGTTCCGGTGCTGGAGCAGATCCAGATCCAGGTCCAGGTTTAAATCCAGCAGCAGCTAAGGGGAATGAAGGTGGGGAGGAGGCTGCCCCTTCCACCGCCGCAGTTGACGGGGAGGTGCCCTCAGCGTCAACCGCCGCCGCCGGCAAGCTCGTAAAGCAGATATCCAGGTTGGGCGGGAAATTGGAGCTAGGAGCCAAGGACGCCGCGGCAGCGGCGGCGGGGGAAGGCGGGTCGTCTTCACCGCCGTCGCCGTGGGCCCAGGCCCCGGCGGTCAACGGCGGCTGCTCGGCGGACGGTGGCAGCAGCAGCAGCAGCGCAGCCGCTGCCGCCGCGGCAGCGGCAGCGGCTTCCCGTGAGCGTGAAGAACTCGAGGAGCTTCGTCGTACAGTCGCCAAGCTCCAATCGGAACTTCGAGAGCGAGACACGCAGTTGCACGTGCAGGCTGTACGGATGTCGGACATGCAGCAGGTGGTTTCGGGGCTACAGACCCGCAATGAGGAGCTGGCGTTACGTTCCGCAGGTCTGAGCGAGGCGGACTTTGAGGCGGTCCGTACGGAGTTTGAGCAGCGGCTGGCGGCCGCCGAGCGCAAGGTGTATGCGTTGACTAAGGAGCGTGACGCGCTGCGCAAGGGTTCGGAGAAGTTGGCGGATTATGGGGCGCTGGTAAAGGAAAAGGACGACATCATTAAGCAGGTTTGTGTGGGGGAGGAGGAGAGGGGGGTTAGTTGTTTGGAGGCCGTGTAGTTTGGGGGATGGGAAGCGGTTGAGGGGGTGAGGTGGGGGTTGAGGAGGTGGGAAGTGGGTGGCAACCTGATGGGAGGACCTGCGGATCAGGTGGAGGGTGAGAAGTCCAGGGAAGGACTGGAGTCAGACAGGTATACCACACCGCAAATGACCCATGGGTCAGGAGGGAGGTGAGGGAGGGGGTGATTTTGAAGGACCGAAACACTGTAAGTAGGCAAGGAAGGAAAGGAGAAGACTCGTGCGCAACGAGAGCGGATAGCCCCGGTAGCCCCACGGAGCTGGGGCCGGGAGAAGAAGGGGTGTGGGCGGCGGGGGGGGCCCAAAGACCCTGGGATTGGGATGCTGGAGAGGGGTAATGGAGAAGGGGGGGGTAAATACGGGTTTTGTCTCACTTTGCTCCTGATAGCCTGTCGAGGTCTCTTTCCCCGCTGTGCTGTGTGTCCCCCCTGACCTGGCAAACCACCTCCACCCCCAACACCACCACCACCCCCAACACCACCTCCACCCCGCCTTCCCCCCTGTTTGGACGTTGGCAGTGTTTCCTGATTGCATGTTGCCACTCAGCCAGTTAGCCAGCCAGCTAGGATTTCCCCCCACCCACCCACCCCCTCCTCTTCCGCTCGCTCCCCCACCCCGCCCCCCTCATCTAGGTGATGGACGAGGGCGAGAAGCTGAGTAAGAAGCAGGTGGAGCTGGAGGGCATTATCAAGCGGCTGCGGGGCCAGCTGTCCGCTACGGAGGGCGAGCGGGACAAGGTGGCGGGGCGGCTGGCGGCCGAGGAGGCGGCGGTGGGGGAGCTCAAGCGGGTCAGAGCCAAGCTGGAGAAGGACCTGCTGGCTGCGGGTGGGTGCGACTGAAGGGGTGGGGGCAATGGAGGGGGTGGGCTTTTTCTGGCTCTTTGCGTCGTGTGTTTTTCCTCCCGCCCGCCCGCCCATGTGAGTCCAAAAGGTGGTTCGAGCTTCTTTGGTATTTCGCGTTGGTGTCGGTAGGCTAGCCGGAATAGTTTAGTTTGGGTCGGTCGGGTCAGTCGCGCGTTCTAGTTTTTTTTTGGGGGGGGGGGTCGGGAGGAACACTTGCATACTGGCAGCCTTTCAGTATCAGCAATGCAGCTTTCTCTCCTGGCCAGCAACTTTACGCCACTTTTACGTCAGCATTTTTTCTCGCCTTTTTTTTCTCGCCGCCTTCACTACTTTTTCTACACCTACTAGTTTACGGTTTTGGCTATAATATTTCTGGCGGCTTAGGTAGGTAGGACTTCCTACATCTACGTCAATTCTTCATCCCGAGGTTACAGTCGTCATCCCGAGGTTACAGTCGTCACAGTCGCCACGGACGCCTTTCGGTCAGTTCTTTCGGTTGCTACTATCTTGCCCTGGCAGCAGCTTTAATCGCGTGTGGTTCGTCTTTCCCGCCCGCCCATCCCCCAACCCCGGCCCGGCCTCCCTGTAGCCGAGCAATCCAAGGCGGATCTGGAGGCCCAGAAGGAGCATTTCGAAATGCTGCTGAATAAGGCCCGGAGCGACCAGGTTTGTGTTGGAGCCAGCGGGGAGCGGGGAAGTGGGCTTTTTTGGGGGGGGGGTAAAAGGGGTACGCCAGCCGGGAACGAGGGGGGTTAGGTCAAGCAGGCGGTGGAAGGGGTCGGGTGGGGAGCGAGCGCCTGGAGTAGGTTGGGGGGTGGGGGGGATTATTCGCTTCTCTGTTCTTCCTCCCCCGCCTTTTCCCCCACCTCCCACCTCTTCTTCGCCTCCTGTCACCCACCGGGTCCTGCACACCGCGTCGTGTCTGTCCTCTGTATTCCCATGTGTGTGTATTTCCCCCCTCTCCCCCCCCTTTCTCCCCCCCTTTCTCCCCCCCCCCGCGCGCAGGTCGACGCGGAGGAGCGGGCTCGTGACGCCGCCGCTGCGGGTCTGGGTCGCAAGCTGCGTGAGTCCGAGGCGCGGTGTGAGGCCCTGGCGGAGTCGTGTATGGAGCTGCGGGACGCCCTGGACCGACAGAGGCAGGCGGCGGATCTACGAGAGGAGATGCTCAAGGTGTGTACGTGTGTACGTGTGTGTGTACGTGTGTGTGTATGTGTGTGTGTACGTGTGTGTGTGTACGTGTGTGTGTGTGTACGTGTGTGTGTACGTGTGTGTGTGTGTGTTGGGTAACTGGTTGTTGTGTTGGGGAGGGAGGAGGGAGGGAAACGCACCCACGTTGTTCACCGTGCATTCCTCCCCACGCCCACCCCTTTCCCATACCCCCTCTCTTACTTTAGGGTGTGGGGGTTTGGGGTTGCTTTGCATTTGGGGTTTCCTGCCGTACACTGCGTGTTACATGTCCGCGCTTCTCCCCCCCCCCACTCACCACGCAGCCCACCCCAACCCCCAAACCGTCGACAGTAATTTATTTTGCTTTTACGTGTCCCCCCGCCAAAACACACAACTCCCCCCCTCCCTGCTTCTTCACAACCGCCGACTGGTCAGTTCTGCTACCGTCCTGTACATCGGCCGCAGCACTCTTTCCCCACTTGGCAGCAGCTTCACTCGCTCAAGTGGTTCGTCCCCCCCTCCCCCCCTCCCTTCACCCGTCCCCCCCGGGTCTCTTCCTCCTCAGGCGGACATATCCGACCTGGAGCGCCGCTGTCAGGCCGCCGAGCTGCGCCACCAGGACCTGGCGGCCAAGGTGCCCGAGGCCACCCGCCCCCTGCTGCGGCAGATCGAGGCCATGCAGGCGGCCATGGAAGCCCAGGCGGAGGCGTGGGCGGGGGCGGAGGCGGCGCTGCAGGCGAGGCTCTCGGACGCGGAGGGGCGCGGCGCGGCGGCGGCAGAGCGGGAGAGGTTGGCGGTGGACAAGATGCATGTGGGAGGGGAGGGGAGGGGAGGGGGGGGGGGGAGAGGGGAGGGGAGGGGAGGGGGGGGGGTTATCGGAAGTGTCTGTGGTCGTCGTGTATTATACCTGCCGCACATATATGGTTTTGTTGCCTCCCGCTCCGGATTATTATAACAACTTAACAACCCAATTTCCCCTCCTTCCCGTCCCAACCCCCACCCCCACCCGGGGGACGGACAACTCTAGGTTCTCTCCAACAAGGTCGCGGGTTTGGAGGCCAGTCTGTCGGCCAGCAGGTCGGAGGTACGGCAGCTGAATGAGGCGCTGGAGGGGGCCCGCGGGGCTCTGGCAAGCTCCAGGTCGTCCGCTGCTGCTGCGGCCCACCAGTCGGAGGTGCTTGGGGAGAGGTGCCGACTGCAGGAGCAACAGCTGGAGCAGGTGGGGGTGGGAGCGAGGGAGGGAGGGAGGGAGGGAGTGTGTGTATGGATGGATGGCGCGGGTGGATGTGCGGTCGGGGACATCCCGCCTTGGTGGCTTGAAAGTTGGCAATGGTCGTCACCGCCGGAGGGAAGGTGGCGGAGGTGTTGAGGGTGGCGGAGGTGGAGCTGAAGGGCGGAGCAGCGGCAGGGCCCCCCTTCTAACCCCTCGTCCAAAGCAGCACACGGCACACGGCACCCACCACACGCACACCCACATCGCAAGCCGGTCGTCAATCCGTCCATTCCCATGTGAGGTCCTACCAACGCAGCAAAGCCCACTTTCCTCTCCCCTCTTCCCCCACACCCGCCATTACCCGTCCGTACACTACACACACACACGTCTCTCCCTTTCCCCCTCTCCCCCCGCCTCATTCCCGAACACCCCTCCCTGCAGTTGGAGACCGCCCTTCGTGAGCACCGGGACACGGAGCGGGCCGCTCGGGCCGCAGCGGAGTACGACATAGCCTCGTTGCGGCGGGAGTACGAGAGGCGGCTGGCGGAGGCGGAGGGGGAGCTGACGGCGCTGCGGACCCAGGCGCAGGCGGAGGCCATGAAGCGGTGAGTGGCGGGTGGAAGGTCGCTTCTTGCATTGCCGTTACCAAATTGTACTGCAATGTACTGTAGTCCCGTAAGTCCACGTCCCCCCCCGGGTTTGTGTTTCCACTTTTCCACTACTCCGACTGCTCCCCGGGGGCTTTTCCACACACACCCTACCCCCCCCTCCCCTTCACCCAGTTTGTACGTTTGCTACTATCTTGCCCTGGCAGCAGCTTCAATCGTGTGTGGTTCGTCTTTCCCCTTCACCCACCACCTCCCCATTCCCGATCACCCAACACCAACCACCAACAGTCCGGAACCCCCGGCGATGGCGGCCCCCGGGTATCGCTGGGTGCTCGTCAAGGAGGGAGAACAACCGCCACAACCACCACAACCGGACCCACGGTAAGGGTGAAGCAAGGTCTCACTCACTTGCCCTTCCCACCGCATACACACACATATTCCCCCTGTTACTCGGCTCCTTGGTAATGATTTCCCCCCCCACACACCCCCTCCCCCCACTGGTGGCGTAGGGGTGGGGGGGTGAGGTATGTGGGGGAAGGGGACCTAAGGGAAGGGGGGGGAGAAGGGCCGGGTGGTGATTTGCCGTACAAGCTTGCCCCACCAAGCCCCTGTGCGCTATAAAACGCCGTAACCCCCACCCCGCCCCTCACCCCACCCGCCCGACCCCGACCCCGACCCCGCAGCTCCACCCCCAGTTACACCGCCAGCAGCGGCCGCTCCGCCTCCTCCTCAGCCACCGCGACCGCCGCCGCCACCTCCGGCACCATGGGCTTATCGGACCTCACCCTCGGGGCCGGCAGCGGCAGCGGGGGTGGGGGTGGGGGTGGGGGTATTCATGTGGTGATGGCCAGTGAGTTGGAGTCTCTGCGGGGGGCTCTGAGGGCCAAGACGGGGGAGCTGGTGGCGGCGCAGCAGCTGGTGGGGGAGCTGGAAGCAACTCGGGACCGGTGCGTGTGCGTGTGTATGTGTATGTGTGTGTGTGTGTCTGTAGATATGTGTTTTGGGGGCCAGGACAGGGGTGCGGGTTGTGTCCAGGGATAACCATGAAAAGATATAAACACGTGCATGCATACATACAGACTGACAGATAGACAGACTGGCAGATAGACAGGCTGACAGGCAGACAACTTTATGGTGTTGGGAAACCCCAAGTGACATTACTTTCCGTTCATACTCCTCTCTCTACTACTACCACCACCACCACCATCACCACCATCACCACACCCTCCTCGGCGACCCCTTTTTGGGGTTCCTGTCCCTCGACAACCACTTCCTGCGCTCATGCTGCTGCCTTACTTCCTCCTTTCCTTACCCCCCCCTGCTTGTTCTCCCTCTCCTTCTTTCCCTTCTCAGGCTGGCAGAGGAGCTGGTTGCGGGGTCCGCCCGCAGCGAGGCCGCTGCTGAGGCGCTTCAGGAGCGGGACCAGCTGCGCGAGGAGCTGGCGGAGATGAGGGTGCGACTGAACAACGCGCTGGAGCTTGTGGGTGAGCGGGAGGAGGGGAGGGGAGGGGAGGGGACGCAGCGTACGCGTGTGTGTGTGTGTGCGTGTATGCGACTGGGCCCCGGGGAGCTTTATGGTTGGGAAGATTGTTGTCTTGTAGCTTTTTGATTGCGCATGACGCACGTGCATGTGCGTGTGTGTGCTTGACGCGACTGAATTCACTTGTCATTCGCCTCGTCCCTCTCACTCTCCCACCCCAAAACCCCACTTATGTTTTCTCACCCTCCTCCCACCCTCCTCCTCCGCCCCTAGGTGAGCGGGACGAGCAGGTGGAGGAGCTGCTTGCCGACCTGCAGGACGTCAAGTGCATGTACAAGGACCAAATAGAGTTCATGTGCCAACAGCTTCTAGAGCTGCAGGGCCCCCGGCACACGGCAGGAGCAACAGCAACAGCACCAGGGGGGAGTGCCGCCGCGGTAGCAGCAGCAGCAGGGGGGCCGCACGGACACGGACATGGGCATGGTTTCGGAGGGGTGCCCGGAGGGCCGCAGGCGTTACACGGCTCCTTGCCCTCCCCCTCCCCGTCCATAGCTCCAGGGCGTCCACCGGTTGGGATGGGGCTGACGGGATTAGGAGGAGGGGGGCTGGGAGGGGTTCAGCGTGTTGGTGGTCTCGGAGCCCCGGATGGGGTTGAGGGGGGAGCGATGGGCCTGGGGCCTCGAGGGGGGGGAGCTGGTGGCGCGGGGATAGGGGGTTGAGGGGGCCGCCCCCTGGGGGCAGCGGGTTGCTGAGCTTAGCGCTCTCTGTCGCCCGCTGTTATCCCCCCCCCCACACACACCCTTTCCCCCACTGGTCGGTGAATATTCCTGATGAAAGATTTGCCCCTGGGGAAAGGCGTTGGTAAGGCCGGGAGGGGTCTGGATGACGGGGGGGGAAATGCATGTGCCTAGATGAGTCTACGTGTGTGTATGTGCGTACGGCATGGGGAAAGGTGTATATCCAAAAGTATACACCCAGCCCCTTCCCCCAGCTTCCCCAGGAGGGTGGAGGGCAAAGGGACCGGGGCTTTGGAAAAGGCCAGGTCGGTCACCCGGGGAGGAGGGGGAGGGGGCTTGGCGGTTTTTGAGGTGTTCGGAAAGGTGGTGGGGGGGGGGAAATAACGGAAAACATCGCCTACAGGCAGCGCGACTGCATGTGTGCATGTGTGTGTGCATGTGTGTATGTATGTGTGTGTATGTATGTGTGTGTATATCAGAGGGAGGGGGGCTCGGGCAGGGTTGGAGGTGTGGAGGCGGCGGTGGCGGCGACGGCTGGGTAGCAGCATCGCAATATCGCAATCCTTGCCTCTCCACCTCACCCAACTGGCCGCCCGGCTACTGTGCACCCCTCCCCCTTTCACCATTACCACCTGTGTCTGCGTGTGGATGTTCGTCTGTATGTTCGTGTATTTTCCTTTTTGGCGTGCTGTTGGTGGACTTGCCGTTTCGCAATGCTTGATGTCGGGGAGACAAAAGTGATCTTGTCGGGGAGAAAACCTCCTTGACTTTGGCTTTTGACTGCGGCGCTCTGACGGGCGTTGGTTGTTTACCGGTGGGGGCGGTGCAGTAGGGCGGTGAACGGCCATGCAGCTGGTAGGGCGCAGCGGCGGTCTGCAGAAGAGAGTCAACAGATGGACGTAAAGGAACTGTGTTCGAATAGGGTGTGGCTGATCGTCCATAGCCGTAGTATGACACATGCAATGGCTATTTCATACCCCACACCACCTTCACCACACTGAAGTACATACATATGTACGTACATACGTACACACGTACATACATACATACGGCCAGGCACAAATTCTCGGTAGGCTTCTCATCGCATCGCTATCCGCCTGGTGGCCTTCTTGCGGCTCGCAGAAATCAGAAAACCCAGACTTCCTCACTTTCACTTTTTTCCGCCTGGAAGAATGAAAAGATGTCCCTCCAAAAAGGTTTATGATTTAAAAACTAATCATATACTAACTTAGTATCATGTACTAAGTTATCACAAGCGCCCGTACTATGGCCGTAGTACGGCCGATCTCACACAGTCGTGACCTTCCGAAAGCACCGTACATATGCCTGCCATAAGCCGCGGCAGAGCCTTCGCGAGGGCAGAGCCTGCAGAGGGCCCGCAGAGCGATGGCAGCTGACACCCCACGTGCCGCTGTCGCCGTGCCGCTGTCGGCCCCCCGCACCCACCGCACCGCGAACACAGTTGCGCAGTGCTTGCTGATCAGATGGAGCGTGGCGAAAAGGTTGTGGGCTTTACTGAGACCGTCAACTAAACCTGATTGGGAAGCTGCCAAACATGACGGGATAATCCCATCCCTTCCCGCAAGCCTTCCACATCTTCCCAAATCCGCCTTAACCCACCGAGCCACTATGGCGGCGTATGTGAGCTCCGTGTCTTGCTTTGACGTGGATGCGTAGAAGTGCAACTTGCCTCTGTGCGGCAGTCGGAAATGTGTCTCAACAGGGGTTTGGGGCGGCAGTCCTGGAGAACTGCTCGCAGAATTGAGATGGCACGTGGGGCTTGGCGAGGAGGGGTGGGGTTTGTGGATGGTGAACCGAGCACCCGCCGCACCGCAATCACGGCTGCTCATGACTAATGAGCACCCGAAGGTTGCTGGTTTGTACCCAATCCCTCAATGATAAGGCATAGTTCAAGATTTGTTTCGATGCACTTTTGGGGACGAGGTTGTAGTACTGAGTTTTTTTCGTAGACTTCTGTAGACGGTAATGATGGTTTGGATTTCGTTGGAAGATGGGAAATGGTGCAACACTGCCACATGCCCAGAGTTGCGATGTGATATGCATGGGTACGGTGTCGCCGGGGTATACAGTGACATGTTAAGAGATTACGTCTTGGACTGACGGCCCGCGCCGATTACCGGGTAGTTCGTTGTGTGCTGTATGTTGTACCTATCCGTTCAGCATTTTTGTGCTTCTACTAAATAATGAGGATAAATTTCTGTTGGGTATGTGTACGACGACAATTCAAGGCAACGATGAAAATTAAATTGACAAGGCACGCGTATTCGATGTGCGCCATTATCCAGCAAAAGCATCCTCAACTGCACATGGAACACGACTTCAGCGCATCTCATGTCCTTGGATACGGAGAGGACACGGGGGAAAACCTGGTGACGCCAAAATACCACATGCGTGCCTGTTCAGCACTGTACTCCTAATACAGTTATATTACTCAGCTCAGCGTTGTTAAATCAAACAAGCCGACCTGCGCACGGTTCCAGACCCGTTCGACTAGTCGATCCAACCGCTGTTGCAGCCCTCAAGGCGCAGACATATTGACCACGGATTGGAATTCGGCATTGCCCTATGCGCACGCCCCATATTCTTTCGTGCTCATATCGCAGATGACGCAGCCAGCCAGCCAGCCAGCCAGCCCTATGTAACGACCCTGCATAACATGTTCGGCGGCTTTCGCACCTATCAAACTATCCGCATGCTTCCCGTAACCTACAACGCCACAATCTCTACCTCCCAGTCGTGCGAGACAGGCAGGCCCGGCTTGCGGAGCACCAACGCGTTCTCATACTGCGGTGCCAACATCGTCAGCGGGCCGGGCTCCAGCGGGACCGCATGTTTGGCGCCAATGAGGGCTTTGTAGCCCCGTTTGGAGGCTGGCAGCCCCAGGAACACCACCCGCTCGATAGTGGTGGGCACTGTCAGGGCGCCGCTAGGGACCCCTGGCTCCACGTGTTTGGAGGAGCTGAGCTTCAGCGACTTCATTGTGAAGTCCCTGCATGCATACATCCACAGGCCACATGCAAAGTTACGATTACTATAGCCACAAATGCAAGGGACCAAGCCCCGACGATAAGCTCAGTCTTGGCACGCGGGGAGCTGATGCGAAGATCGAATGGATGAGTCGGCGGCCGCGTGCCCTGGACAGCCGATGCTGCCGATGTGCGAGTTGAGTCTGATTGAAGTCCGCAACAGTGGGCCCCAGCAAGGCTATGTATAAATCGGTTATGCCCGGTTGGCCTGTTGCACGTCCTTCTTCCTCCAGTACTTCTCAAGGAAAGTGATAACCTTCAGGCCACAACATAGTGGGTTCTATGAATTACAAGAACAAAGAACCGAAGCTGTGGTGACTGAGTTTCCATTTCCACGCATCGGCAAGATCTTCATTCTCTTCACCCACCTGTGCAGGTACTGGCCCCGCTGAAAGGCGAAGGAACGGCCATCGTCGACGTAGAGACTGCCCGTCGCCTCGCCCTTGTCGTCCAGCGCTACCACCAGCGTGTAAGGGTCGGCCAGCTGCGCGGCGGTGCTTCGTCGGGGGCGCTCGCGCAGTGGCAAGATGTTGCCGCCTCGGTAGTAGACCGGGATGGAGTCCAGAGTCACCTGCAGGAGGAAGTGAGCGTGTGAAGGGTGCGGTAGTGGGCGCGAAGATGAACCGCAGACGAGTGATGCTGTGGGTAGTGGGGGTATGCCATTAACTGTAAGCAGCGCGGCAATACGGCAGCACTGACTGAGCCCTTGTCAGAGGAAAACAGAACCCGGCCAGAAAGAGTTGGCCACGGTTGGCAGGGTTGCCAAGCCCATAGCCAGGATATTATTTAGTTTGAGAAAGGAAGCATCAAAATCTGCCGGGTTTGGGTTTGAAGCGGCGAAAGAGCGGACGCATCCGGTTCGGGTTTAGGGTTTTAGTTTTAGTTCGGGTGATTTCACTGTGCCGCAAAACTTTCCGTCCAGGGACATTCCCTCGCCACGACAAACTGCGCTTGTCCGTAACGGACCGTGGGGCCCCTTATCCGTAACGGGCTCGGCAAGCCAGGCCAGCTTCTCTAGCTCTGGGGTTCAGCATGTTTTCGCAGTTGCCTTCCAGTCTATCTCAATCCTGCAATCATCTTTAGGTTACGCCTCTGGGGTCGATTTGCTTCAATTGCCGGAATGAGTCTCAAGCCATCAAAGGATGAACACGATTAAAAAACGTGGTGGTGACCGGTCTCGCTTACCTGCACGCGCTGGCTGCGACTCCTGGCGGGCACAGCGGCTCCACTCAGAGCGTCGTACCAGCGCGCCCCCACCGGCAGCGTAACATCCACGCTGCTGACCCCCGGGGCGACGATAGGCTTGACCAGGATGGCCGGGCCAGCCATGAACTCCTCCTCCACAGCGAACAGATCTGCCGGCCCAAGGAGCGCATCAGAAACAGGGGCAGCAGAGCGGGAATAAGGACAACAGCACATTCGCCAATAAGACAATAGGAGATGGGGGTTGGGGCCGAGCGGAAAAGGGGGCAATAGTGCAATGTGTAACGACCGAAGGAAAAGGAAGGAAAGAACCAGAGCTAGCAGCGGTTTAGGCAAGTTATTAGGAAACGTGGAGGCCATCAGATAGCGACCAAGAAACTCCCAGCTCGTGGACACAGAAGCCTGTGGACTGCGCAATTTATCGCCCCCTCGCTGCTACCCAGCACACTCTGTCCTCAGAACCTGTCTACACCCGCGCCCTCAGCAGGAGCAGGCACGCGGCTCTCAGACGCAAGCACATAAGCATGCTCAAGTCGTGGAAATCACAAAACAAACGCGTGCAACCCACTACTCCACTCACCTTCATTCTCCGGGAATTCGTACCACAGCGGCCGCAGGATCGGCAGGCCTGACGTGTTAGCGAAGCGGAACAGCGTGTAAATGTACGGCAGCAGCGTGTAGCGGCCCCGGATGGCGGTACGGATCCGTGCAGTGGTCTCGGGGCCAAAGAGCCAGGGCTCCCGGCGCTGCGTCTCCAGGTGAGCATGACCGCGGAAGAAGGGATAGTAGATGCCGAGCTGGTACCAGCTGTGGATGCGGAGGCCCCAATGCCGCCGTGGCAATAGAGGAAGGATAGAACAGGACGAGGTAAGACGGGGGGGGTCTCAAAAGATGAGCGGTTGCGGCGCCCCACCGGCACCTACAATCGTATAACACAAACTAATCGGAGCTTCGCAAGGGCCATATGGCCCAATCATACGGCACACTGTACATACAAACGGATAGCAAATCCCCCCTCCTCGCCATGGGCTTTCTAAAAGCAAATCCTAGATTCCAACCAAGAGAAACGTAATCAACCACGCAACAAGCCCTTAACTGAACGGACCCGCTTGCCAGCCTGGATGCCGTCAACAGAGGCAGCGGCCAACGGAGGCCGCGGCCGAACAACTTCCCCCATATCCCACACAGCACCAGACATTACTTCCCTTGACACCGCAAATACTTGCCCGGCATTGTTCAGACGGGCCATGCTTGAGTCGCAATTTCGACGTTCCCCTTTGTTCCTAGACCCCTCTAGACTCCTGCCTTTGATTCCTAACGATGTGTAAAACCTCGCACCGAGTCATGAGCTCCGCATCGGGGTTGCCGAAGAAGCCGCCCACGTCAGCGCCCGAGTACGGCAACCCGGTCAGGCCCAGCGTCAGCAGCATGGGGACCGACACCTTGAGATGGCTCCACTGAGCCGCATTGTCACCCGTCCAGATAGGACCCACACGCTGGGTGCCTGAGCAAGGCGCAGCGGAAGAAGCGAGAGGCGAAAAGCGGTTTACCACACGACACACCAATCACATGGCACGGGCACCGGCGCAGGAAGCCGCAAAGACGCGGAGGCACCCCCGGTGGGAGGATACCAAATTTGACCATGGACAACAGAGCCTACATCTTCCAATATTTGCGTATCGGAGCCAGGTCTGACCGACGGATATCCTTACAGCTATGGGCAATGGGCCCCGACTGGATGCTCTCATCCACGGGCGGGCGGGTTCGCACCTGAGAAGAAGGCACGTGACAGCACGAACGGCCGGTCTCCGTTCTCGGGATCCACCTGACTCCCGCGCAGCTTGAGGCCCTCAGCAGTGCCCATGTGGTAGTAGATGCCGTACAGGTTGTGGTTGTCGCGGTGTTCCACGTTGCCGTAGTGGAGGTTGTCCTTCTGCATGGTAATCTGCGGCGCAGGGCAGACAGAGAGACCGGCGGGCATATGGGACCGGATGAGGAAAAACCGCATGGGAGTGCGGAGGGATACGGGAATATGACGCGTTTGGCGGGGGTCAAATGGGCTAGCAAGAGAACAACGTCTCCTTTCAATCCCTAAGCGATGCGTCCCCTTACCCTACATCCATATCAAGCGTCTCCTTTGCCCATGAGCGCCGACCGACCCAACCACAGGGCAACTGATGCATAGTCCTCCCCAAATCAGCCCGTACACCAACAAAAGCCAGATACCCCATCACCCCTCATCCTTTTCCTTGCGTCTAAAGCTCCACACGGGCCAACAGCCCTTCCACTTCACCACGCTTTTTCCATAGTCAACCGGGTGCTCAGTAGTACTGAAAGCGCGTAAGTTCAGTCCTGCATTCCTCACCTCCGGGCCGTTGAAAACGGACGGCTCGTTCATGTCATTCCAGATGTACAGGTGCTTAGTGCTGCCCTGGTACTTGTCAAGAGTGAACTGCTGAGCCCACCATTCGCGAACGGCGGGGCTGGTCACGTCCAAATAGCTCGAGGAGCCCGGCCAGCACCAGCTGCGGGGAACAACAAGCATGAGAGGGCCGGTGGTGGACATAGTTAGGGTCCCGACAATGAGTGGAGACTTAGGGTGCTGGCGGACCCGGCCCGGGGTGACCTAGGCAATGGCCCTGCACCGCCTCTAGCTGTGCCGGGGCAGAACGTGGCGCAGCCGGCAACCTTGCAGGGAGCAGCGCGATGACGATGCCTGAGGGTGCTTTGAAGCTTCACCCGAAAGAGTGGAATGGAAGCGGAGCTGTGGAAATCGGGCTAAGGCTGCTGCGCGATATGCACCACGGGTTTTGACTAGTGACGGAGCACAGCATGAAGATGCCGGGAGTGCGTCCGTGTAACACGCGCAATGCCTTTCGCCGTGCTTTTAAAGCAAACAAGGGGCACCTGACCCGGCGATGAAATAGGGCACATCGTGCGCACCCGCATCCGCCGCACTGACACGCACGACGCAGTCAACCTGGTCAGCTGCCGCCCAGCCAGCCAGCGACCCACCCGTCAAAGTCGCTGCCGTGCTTGTTCTTGACGAAGTGGCCTGCCTTCTCCGCCTCTGAGAAGATGTAGTAGCCCGAGTCCCTCTTGACGTGGGGGTCGACAATGGTGACCATCTGGCGGCCGCGGCTGGCCAGGTCCTCCTGCATCGCCACTGGGCTGGGGAACAAAGAGCTGTCCCAGGTCAGGTACCTGCGCATGGGGGCATATCGGGATGGATGAGGGCCATGTAAGGGTAGGATGGATAGGTGGATGGATGGGCGCTCGGGAAAGAGGGGAGTTGGGTGAAATGAAAAAGAGGGTAGCTGGGTAAGATTAAGGTGAGGAAGACAGAGGGACAAACCCGAACGTGATTCGAGCGGAAAATATAGTTCGTTGTGAAAGTCCAGGAAGCATACAAAAAGAATGCCGAGGGAAGCGTACACTTAAAAATTAAACAGTGTACGTTTTTCATAAACAATCAGTGTACATACACACACACATATATATATCATAATTGTTAGGTATCGGAGGTATTGGAAGAACTCAGGTTCAAAAGCGGCGGAGGAAGTTCAGAGCAGCCAGCTATGACGTAGAGGCTCCTCCCTCGGCCAACTGGTTCGCACGTGCGTCACAGGACATATCCCATCGCTTGCCTATTAAGGCCATACAGCCAAGGTCCGTCCATTATGAAATCAAGCAGCTACACACATGAGAGACCAAGCGGCTACCGGCAAGATACACACGCACACACACACACACTTTCACAGGCAGCTCAAACGCACCGCTTGCCGTTGGTGTGCTCAATATCGAGCCAAAGCACGTCATAGGGGATCTCGTGGGAGTCGAAGCCGCCGTCCACCTCCTTGACGTCCTCCTCGTCCTTGTAGTTCCAGCGGCACTGATGGTAGCCGAGAGAAAAGAGCTGAGGCAGCGCCGTGGTGCCGGCCACACGCGCGTACGATGACAGCACTGCCGGCGCGGAGCCGCCAGTGAAGACGAAGAGGTCCAGAATGCCGCTCTCCGCAATCCACTGAGTGCCCACCTCGCTGCGGCCCTTGACCACGTCCACGAACATTTCGGCTGCGTTCAGCCTGTGATGACCCAGAGTCGGAGGGCAGGAGGATTAAAGTAAGCGGGTGTAAGCGGCGTACCGGAAGGGTTCTGGGTGTAAGCGGCGTACCGGAGGGCATAATATGCAAACCTCAAACCAGACACCTGCCGACGCCCAAAGCGTGCAGGGCAGGAATCATACGCAAGAAATAAAACATCAAGTGCCGACAGCAGGTTGAGGGAGGAAAAGACGAACCACTGATGATTCAAGCAGATACCATAGATAAGACGGACACGCCAGGATTAAACAGATATTGCAGGGAGGGGAATGGAATTATGAGCAATACTGGAAACATGGGGGCTCAGCGGGGAGTAATCCACCACCGGCCGCTCACCAGAAAACGCCAACGGTAAGGCCTTTCTTGTGGGCCAACATGACGGGAATACTGCCGTACAGGCCGAATGGATGGTCATCCAGGTACTCAAACACGTCCAGGTTGTACAGCCGGTACGGCTCACCATACGGTGCCGCGCCTGCAAACAGGGTGCACGACTCGTCAATCGGCTGTGCTCTTGAATTGGCCCTGCCAGCACAATGCTCACCATTTCGTTCATGCAGAACGAAAGGAAAGAGAAAGAAAAAAGAATGCATTATCACGCCAAGGACCCCATAACCGAAAGCCATGCCTTGCTTTGCGGCTGCACACAGGCCTCGTTCTTCTACTTGCGGGAGATGCGATTGACTCACTACACATAGAAACCTCCCATATACTTTAAACAGGCTTGGCCCTTAGAACTCCTCCCAATCCCGCTCGAGTGCATGCGTTGCGCCAATGCTGCAAGGGCTGGCGGGAGCAGGCATAATGTGTATATACCCTATTGTGACCCACGTTATACTCAATTCGGAAGAAGTTCTTCACTGGCCCATGCGACTTAACGTAGGCTAATTGTTCGGCACGCATGCTCCAAACTTGCTGAAGGCAAAATCTCAGGAAGGACGCTTGCCCGTTACGGTGCAAGGCGACGGAACGCATGGGGTGCGCCTAGATTGCACCGTCCACACCGAATAGGGCCGATTGAATTCATGTAAGATTTCTTACTGATTTTGCATCCCCAGCTCGCTGGCCTCGACTTTAGACAAAGCATATTTGCATAGGGTCGCATCCTGAGCACCTGCCACATTACATCACATGGCCTGCCAGGCGCAGTGCGCCTTGCCAGCTCTGCACCCGACCCCTGGCCGATACCCCTTCTCACCCCTACCGAACGGTGTGCGATCGAGCCACGACCCACCATTGGTGGAACGGAGCGAGAGGCTTGTCGCACGCTCCGGGATGCCGTACACGTGCTGAAAGCCAGGGAAGACGAGGTCTAGAGAAATGGCCTCCGGGCCCTTAGGCTTCGAGTCTGTGTGTCCCATCCATGTCTCCTCCCAGAAGCCAGCGGGGTCATTCTCCTGCAGCAGAACACATGCGTCACTGGTGTAAGCAGCATACGGTTGCGCCAAAACGTATGATACCGTGTTTAGGCCCTCCCGGTAAACTCGACGAGTGCAAGTGATGAATTGTCCAGGAATACCTGCTTTGGTCTCCGATGTTCGAAGTTAAACAGGTTGCGACTGTTGATCTGAAGGGCTGGGACTCCCTTGACGCTGATCGCAAGCGAGAACGGCTGGAAGTTGAGCACCAGCTTTGTTTCGCCTCCCGAAAGTGTGATCGCTGACGAAGTGCGGCTTTCCTCCTTGAAAGCCAGTTTCTTGGTCTCCCAGCCCGAGACCAGCACGTCGGAGGGCACCTGATACCTTCCCACGTCCGGCAACTCATCCACGAGGACACGGATGAATCCATCTGAATGCGACGTAACTGTCAACTGCAAGTGCTTATCGAACCCCTTGTTTAGAAGGGTGGCCGTTAACGTGGCCGTGTTCAGGACGATAGACCCGGGGACAATGTCGAAGTTGGCCCCTTGCTGCATGTTTCGATTCCTGCTACAAAAGCTTGTTTGAGCACACTTTTTGAACTCATTTTCCTTAAATGCAGTTGCAAGCTGTGAAATGCCAAGAGTTACCAGCAGCAGGCAAGAGATCGCAGCCCGCATTGCTCTATTCGGAGCCCCTGCTGTAGGTATCATATTAGAGTATCTATATGTATCTATGAAATAAGAAATAGGCTAGGGAACAGCTGTCTCAATCCTGTCGCAGGGGTCAGGACTACCGTACTTGGTTCAGGGTAGCAAACAGATTGCTTAAACGTCATCGCGTGATCCGTACTCACTACTAACTTATTGTGGGGAAGGCCATTGCGTCTGCGACCACACTCCCGCGGTACCCAAACCCTTCAAAGACAATTCCGATCAGCCATTTGGCTGTTAGTGGGAGGGCGGGTGGGCCGCTCGCACGGCAATCGAGTAGAGAGTACGAAAATAACCTAATGCAGTCATCGACAGCAGAAAACGTAAGCCTCCAGCCTCAGGCCGACTCTCTTACCTACCATTCATATTTTCTACCTCGTTCCCAAGACTCCGCCGCGTTGCCTCTAGTTCGGCTCGTGCCACAGGTAACTTCGCTCGTCGCTACTTTGCCATTCACCTTCGCCTCCACCCAGCCTCTGCTTCTCCACAGAAGCGGCGACCTCCTTCGCCGTTGTTACGCCTCGTCTATGCGAATCCTCCTCATCCGACTGTGTCTTCTGCCTACCCGGTGCGCGCCCCCTCTCTCTGCGCATCCTTTTCTCTGGCCCTCTCTTACGGTTGCCTACCTTACTGCAGGACTCGCCCCTTGCCTGTCCGGTGCCGGGCAGGCTTTTCTTGCCTTCCCCGGCCCTACTTGGGGCGCCCCTCCTTGGCTCGTCCACTACCTTACTTCCATCCGTTCCTGCCCCTCGGGGGCCCAACCCCTCCGCCCTTTCTGTGGGCCCGATGCCCGCTCTGGACTTATCTCACGCCCCCGGCCTCTCTGATGCTGGCCCC